CACCATACACTGCGAATATAATGTATTTTTCCAAGGTGAAAAATGATTACATTTATTTCACAAAATGATTAAAAGTGCATTAATTCTGCATTAATTCTGTATTTTTCTGCATTAATTCTGCATTATTAATCATTTTGTGCATTAATGTCAATCATTTTTCACCTTGGAAAAATACATTATTTTCACAGTGATATGATGTTTTGTGTGGGAAAAATACTGGTGATTATCAAGTGATTTTTTTATGTTTTTGCTTGCTTCCAACTTTTCCAATCATCCACTCCTGAAGATTAATTATAAGGTGTCCATTCCTATCTTTTTGGGTATCAAACCTGAAGATTTCACTTTTTACAGAACTCACCTCAAAAGATTTTGAGCTTGATCTTGACCTGTGTTACATGCAGAAAAATGATTACAGTCTTTACAATATTGTGTCAAGTTGATAGTATCAGTGCCCAAAGGAGGTTTTTTACAAGTCATATGCATGCCTAGCCTTATGTTCTTCATAAGATTGGTTTGATGGCAAATCTTGATGTACTTCAAAGTAGTACAATCTCTCTTCATTAGTTAGCTTTGAGGCTGAGATCAAGAGTTGTCATCTCTCTATGTATTTCCCACCTCAAACATGTATGACTACGTAGCAAACTTATATGATATAGAGAATTGGGAGGAGTGTGTGTTGTGATTTAAAAGGTTTCAATGAAGAATAAAGAAGAAAATTCCTCAGATCAGGAACTCGGTAAACTCAACTAAATGGTACATTATGTGCTCAGCTCCACTAGACACTTGATTGTGAGTAAAAACATGGACAAATCACTATGGTTTTATGTAGTATATGTAATTAAATGCAGGAATGAAACCATGAACAAAGTAGAGAAATATAGAGAAATGTTAAGTCAGAGATTTAGTTCTAACACAAGACACAGAAGACAGGAATAGTACTAGATGGTGTACAAAGTACCACCAACCTGGTCATGCCAAGGACATTTGTAGTATCAGATGACTGAGAAAGAAGCAGCTTTTGACAGTCTAGTCATGATTCAAGTTTGTACCAATAGAGCATTTGGATATCAAAGATGATGATAGAACTGGGGTATACATGTCAACATAAAACTTGCTCAAGCCAGATCTTCATATTATCTCTCATAGATGCTGTCATTGACCAGAGCTATCATTGTTCCTTTTCCAGAAGAAGAGTTCTAAGCCTACATTCTGCTGGTGGCTTCCATGAATTTGCTTGTACAAGATGTGTTTAGGTACAAATCTTTGTAATCTTTGGATATCTATAACATATTAAAAGCTAGCTACCTCAAGAAGTCAGTGATATCCAAAGGTTTGGTACACAATGGCATCTATGGAAAACATATTGAAGGTATGTTATCTGAGGTCAAGGCTTTGGTGCCAGCTGGCAGTGCTTCTTGATCAGGTGGAACAAACAGGAGTACTGCCATTTTGTTTGGAGGATATCATCTTGGAGTCTTGATAGAGTTGTTGACCATTGGCCAGTGGCTGTGCACAAACTGAGCCCAGAGTGGAATTCAAAGCATGAGTCTCGTCTTGATTATCCATAATACACATTTCATTGATCATCATCGCCATTCACATTCCAGCGTACCTTAATTGGGTCTTTAGAAATAAGGGATCTCCAAACTGAAGCTGAAACTGTGAATGCAATTTGGAAAGCTACATAGTCAGCTGACTTGTTCCGTATTTCGCAAGGTGAGGAATTGTAGAGTGAGGATTTTCAAAGACTATGTGTGATACATTACAGGCTTGGTTCTTTGAGACTGGATCTGGGATATCAGTCCAAGTCTTACTGGATGCTAAGCACTGCAAGAGTCTGCGGGAAAGTGTGAGGTTTTTACTCATCATTACATATGTGACCTTTACCAGTCCTCAGACTTCCGGTCGATCAATAGGGCGGGGTCGCCACTCTGACCTGCAAGCGGGTGAGGTATAGAGTCATAGCGAGTTTTTTGGGTTATTCACAAATCGGTCGGGACGAGATAAGTACATAATCGATGGTGCAGTTGTCAATCCGGGCCGCGGTAGGAGGGGATCTACGAGACCATCGCAGTCATCGATGGGTGATCGCAGTGAACAGACCCATGACCCAGGGATAAGATTCTCTGATGAGCGATGAATGTGAAACGTTCGTATAAGTGTGTCAGACCGACAAGTAAGTAAGTGATTCATATTGTATTGGAGGATGACTGCCCCAGTGGGTTCGACAACGCACTCAGCTTTAAGTTTTACAGCATTTCTCACCAAAGGTCCAACATCTGGGTATACAGCTTCCTAACTAGGATACATCGATTTTTTTCTATTGGATTTATCGATTCAAGAACGTCTAGTGACTTGCTCAAATTCGAATGTGAAGAACATGAGCATTTGCGGCATTCTGAACGTTTGACTCCAGTCCCCACATGATGAAAGTTAGCTAGTGCTAGACTTTCGTTCAAAGTATAGACTCCTACATTTTTCCCCGCATAGGTTTGAATGACCGAATATGTACTTAGCTCCTCCTTGTGTTTCAAGGATAGCATCCTGGGTCACGCACAATGCGATCCGCGACACAGTGCTGGTTTTCACGTCTAATGAGTCCGAAAAGAAAACTGAGTCTGAATCTTGACCGTGCGCCACTGCCAGATCGTCCTGAGTCGCTTTCCCCTTACCCCACAGTGCCCGTATTTGAATGTTGGTAAGCTGGCAGTTGATATCTCGCATAATCAGGAGTTGAATTGTCTTTGCTATCGCCGCTTGTCTGCCTTAGAGCTCACGCAATTGCCCATCAAGCTTACGGTCACGGCCAGGTGAAACGGGCCAAAATTGAACATAAGGCAGATGACGTCCTTGGTCATTCGGTCATTTGTACTGCTCCGCACCTTATGTCCGTCACAAACACTGGTCTTCAGCTCGGAAATACAATTTTGCTACGGGACCTCTTACACGTCTGCGTACCCCGAATCTTCCCGCTCTAGAGATTCAGTATTCTCCTCATTTTCCAAGATCAGTATACATATTTTCCATGACGGCATGTTACGTCTAAAGGGGTTACATCGATGGATGAAAGAATTCTACAAAATCACTGTGAAAGCTTTTCATAAACTCTCAACCTTCTCTTTCCCCACAACTTATACCTCTTTGGTTTGTTTAAAGAAATATTTGCAATTTCCTTTTTATCCTTCAAGGATTCGGTTTTCTATATCAAGAACTGTGAATATAATATCAAAATTAGAATTTTTTCATCATGCCTGCGGTAATGGCAGGTCCAGTCTCGTTTGCGCCACCGGCGGGCAAATCGAGCGCAATGGCAATCGTCATCGCGGGATTCGCTGCGTTTGGAGGATTTCTGTTAGTACTTTGTGATTTTATGCTGGTGAGAAATTGCTTGACCAAGTCCTATGACTGATCACTTCTGTGCATGTCATGCAGATACGGTTATGATACTGGGTAAGTCACATTTCTTTTACAACATGAGTGCATTCTTCTTATCCATCGAACAACCCTTTCCATGAAATGGATAGATATATCTCCGGTGTCAAAGGTAAGCCACATCTTCGTCCCTTCTATCGAGTTTAAGTGCTAACCATCAAAAATTTGCCACATTCAGCTATGCCTTTTTGGCTACGGTCCGCTGGTCAGCTAGGCCCTGATGGCGAGTATATGATCACCACTGGCCAAGATTCACTTGTGAGCTTAAATTCGCGGTTCATACTCGATGCTTGATGAGTTTTGTCTCATTCCGCCTTTGCAACTTTTGTCACCAGGTCACGAGTATACTTTCAATAGGTGTAAGTTTGATCAGCATATACAAACAAGTCATGAGCTTATCAATCCAATGCTATCGTAGACATTTGTGGGAGCACTTCTGGCTTATCCCATAGGTGACAGGTATGGACGAAGGATAGGAATTGTACTAGCCTGTGGAATCTTCTGCATTGGAGTCGCCCTACAAACTGCTTCGTCCAAGATAGGTTTATTCGTTGCTGGACGTGTATTTGCAGGGCTAGGAGTCGGTATTACTTCTTGCCTTGTACCTATGTACCAGTCGGAATGCGCACCGTTGAGTGTTTTTTTCAACTTCATGGTTTATTACTTCACAGGGTGTCTGATTTTTGTTAGACACACCACTGAAGGAATTCACCCTCTTGACCTCATGCTCAACATGAATAATTTTCATTTCTTTACAATAGAAAATGGATTCGTGGAGGGGTAGTCGCATGTTACGTGAGTATCTCTGTCTTGTCTTCAACTATCATAGGGAGTTTCAGTTCGGCTGGGACACGAAAGCTGATTTTATGCATTTTTCTAGCAATGGGCTATCACTATCGGGCTTTTGGTCGCCTCGGTGTAAGTATAGAATTAGCTTTATCTTCACATGCGAACTTTACTGATCTTCGCTATAACAGGACCGTCAACGCAACTAAAGACATGCCAAATGCATCCAGTTACCGTATTCCAATCGGAATTCAAGTAAGCCACTTCTTCTTCGTTCAAATGTTCTTTTGCTGACATCTGACAAAACCGTGATCCACTCAGTTCATTTGGGCAGCAATCTTATGTATCGGTCTGATGGTATTACCTGAATCGCCTCGATATCTATTACTCAAAGGAAGAGAAGAAGAAGCATGGAAATCATTAACTCGTCTCTATAGCGCACCTTATGATGATCCAGATGTTCAAGCCGAGTTTTCAGAGATCTCTGCAAGTTTGGCAAGAGAAAGAGAGATTGGTAAAACTACTTTGTTAGATTGTTTTCGATCTGATAAACGAAAGAATTTGTTACGTACTTTAACTGGTATTGGGTTAGTCTCATCTTATTTCTCTCTTTATTTTTAAAGCCAAATCCAGCTCAGATTATTGAATTTTGCGATAAACTTTTAGACTTCAGGGTTGGCAACAAGCTGTATGTTCTACAGATGAATTTTTAAGTTTGTTAGACGACTTTAGACTAATTTGCTTTCTCTACTGAAAATCTTTGCCTAGTCTGGTATCAACTTGTGAGTCAACCTATCGATATAAATATACTCATTAACAAAGCTTACCAGTATTCTGTATATGATCACAGCTTCTTTGTAAGCACAAACCCCTTCAGAATCGACATCATTTGGTACACTCTACTGAGACTCGAAGTATTTTCTTTAGTACTACGGGACTACCTTCTTTAAGAATTCAGGAATATCCAATGCATTCTTAGTCACTGTCGCCACTAATGTTGTAAGTGTGATATCATCGAATCTTTAAGATAAACACAGAGTGACTGAAAATTTCTATAACTCTGCATAGGTCAACGTCGTCAGTCTCATATCCATTCTAGCATCACTATGAACCTAATAAAATCATATATCGCAAGGTATTTGAATGAAATGTGCATCACTAATCATCTCGCTTCAATGCTTCCAGGTGATGACGATTCCAGGAATTTGGGCTGTTGACAAACTCGGACGACGAACCATGTTACTCGGTGGAGCAATTGTTATGTTCGCATGTGAGGTAAGCGTACCAGTACAGATGGACTTTAAACTCGTCATCTTTACTGAACCACTTCATCTGTTGTTGCAGTTGATTGTGGCGTGTGTTGGTACGTTCACTTCTCCCGACAATATGGCATCTCAAAAGGTTCTCGTGGCGTTCTCTTGTATCTTTATTGGAACATTTGCGGCTAGTTGGGGTAAGCTTTTGGTCTCTTACGAGGTGCATACCAAGTACTGATGAAGACTTATTCCAAATTTCAGGTCCTATCCCATGGGTCGTGACTAGGTTTGTAAATTTCAAAGAACATTCCTATATATGATCACTAACGGTTTGACGATTGTCTTGTAACAAAAGTGAAATATATCCTCTAGCAACTCGTGGAAAGCAAATGGCAATGTCTACAGCATCCAATTGGGCAGTGTAAGTCACATCAATGTGAATTGATTTCCTACAGATGACTAATGATCATTGATTCAACGAAATGATCACAAACAGAAACTTCCTCATGGGATTCATCACACCTTATCTGGTTGATGAAGGTGTTGGTAAAGCCGGTCTAGGAGTCAAGGTGTTTTGGCTATGGGCAGCATTCTGCTTTTCTTGTATCATCTTCTGTTTTTTCTTGTAAGCCCCCAGAAACCCTCTTCCTAAACTTTTTTTTTGATTATTCAAACATAGACTGAAAAATGATCTCTCGATTTTTTTTGGTGGGGACGGTTATAGGATTCCGGAAACAAAGGGACTTTCATTAGAACAAGTCGAATTACTTTACGTGAATTCGACTATTCTTAAAAGTAATTCTTATCGTCGAGAGATGATTGCAAATAATATGCATGAAGGAATGACACCTGCTGAAAAGGCTGTTCAAGAAAAACTAGAATTGATTTGAAAGAAGAGATGGAATGTTTTAATTATATATATCTCATGATTTCATTACACTTCTTTTTGATTGATTTTCCTTTTAGAAGACTTAAGACAGAGTAGAATTGATTCAGATCATGTGATCGTGCTCTCTTCTAGGATCAAATTGATATGAAAGATGATCATAAAGTGTTTATGTTGTTCTATCTTACTATAAATCTTTTAACTTGTATCTATTCTTTATCTAGCAAACCCACAAAACTTACTCTCTTTATCCTTCAACTCAACCTGTTCTTTCCAGAAATCTCCACCACAATCATGTACAATAGCTTGATGAATTTGAAATGTTATAGTTCATCTCATATTGCTTTTGTTCAGTCCCTTGAAGTCCTTTTTTTCTTCTTGTCTTTCTTTTACTCATAGTACAAATCAATATGAGATTGAAGATCTGTACATACTGTGTATGTGTGATGATTAATTTCATTATTGCAGTTATGATGAATTTTTCAAATCCTTATTTTCTTGACTATATAATTAGGTGAATGAATACATCATTTGTTTAACTTGCTTGTCAGAAAACAAGATTGGATATAAGCCTATTGCATTGGCAAAGTCTGCCCTGGTGTATCTGTTGGAAAGTATATTGGATCCTTTTTGATCACAACTACCATATATATGAGTAATCACTCAACCAAAACATCCACGTTTTGGGGTATTTGTACTGCCAAAAACTCTACTTAGTTTCCATTCCCCCTATTCAAGACTTTCACCAAGTTTTTAGGTCATTCCATAGTTTCTGATCTCACTCTATCCATCTTTGTACTCCATGCCTTTGTACATTCAAGGTCATCTTTAGGAAAGGAATTCGAATTCCAGTTTCATTTCTCCTTTTTGGAAAATCATCAGGAAAAATAGCCAGCCCTATCCATGATATCAATTGCTCAAGGAGGTGACCTTGGTCATCATCATCGGATTCATTTATTCCAAGATACACTCAAGACGGTCAAATTATAAGACTTGTAATTTTTTTCAAACTCACTAATCATTTAGATCAATGAATGAATGATAGATTGATCACGACCAATAATTCATAATCTCAGTTCATCATTAAACAAGCGATAATTCAAACTTTGTGATCATGAACCGTTAAAGTATTCAAATCAGTTTGAATGATTTGTTTATCCGTTCAGGTTGATGTGAATGATTTTTCTCATTGATTCATAGTTTGTTCAATCAATCGCTCATGTCACTGATTTGGTACTCAGAGTGAGACCAATTTGAGGAGTTCTTTTGATTTTTGTGAAAACTGAATAATGATGCATTGATAAAAAGGGTTCAGTTGAAGTGATTTGAGAGTGTGGGTTAATCAAGTATAAGAAGGTGTTAGAAGATCATCAATTATAGAAAATGAAATCCCTTTGTTGGAAAGAGTAAGTTGGAAGACGTCATTTCGAAAGGGTCAAGAAGTCTTAGTCAAGAAGTGCCCTGTTTGGTTTTTTGAAATCTTGGTTGTAGCATATAGTGTAGCAAATGGTTAAAGGATGAATCGAGTTAAAGAAGGGTTTTTTGATTGAATGAAGTTGAGTTTAATGATTAACATTGATCGAATTGGGTTTGGTTGTGATGATGGAATGATTAGTAAGATAAGATGGCTGTGAAGAAAGATTGTAGAGTGAAATCCGAGATGGATGCATGGATGGTTCTAGAAGGTTAAATCGAAACCCTAGATAGCTACACCCTAGACCGTAGTAGCATAGAGATTAAGACTTAAGATTCTAGATTAAACAAATCGAAAACCCTTTGTTAAGTTTTTTTTTTCTTCCAAAGGTGACGAAAGATTATCAAGTAAATTTAAGTTTCTCCTTTCTTTCTGTTTCTTTCTGTTTTTTTAATTTGAACATCAAACTTCAACACTTTAGTACTCATTTCAACATCAACAAAACGATCAAAGTTACCAATCCAAATCAGATTCCCAAAGTCAAACTGTCTAAAAATCTAAAGACTGTTCAAGTGAGTAAGTCAAGAGTTTAATCATTGTGGAGATATCTTTTGATTACCTTTGTTTACCGGTCTTTTTTTTTCGTTTCACCCTGATTCTTCCATGTTGTTTACCCATCTCACTCCGATCGCATCTACATCTAAGAAGTTCGATTTAACTGACTACCTTTGTTCTGTTGACCCCCCTTTCAACTTTTCAATCATCTCACTCTCTCTTTCTCTATTTTATCATTCATCATCATCATCATCATCATCATCATCATCATCAACTCAGAAATCAAAACTCAATCAAATCAATCAATCACTTTCATTCATTCTCAATCAATCCATCAGATCATGACCATGTCCATCACTACTCTCAACAATCAATCTACTGAACCATCCGATCATTCAAATCAAAATCAATCAAACTCAACTTCATTGAATCCTCAAGAACCTTTAAAAAATTCAACTTCTCATCCTCGAAGAACGAGAAAGTCGAAACTATTAGCCAATCGACGTAGACGTAGTAGAAATCAACCTGATTATGATGAAGATCTAGAAGCAGATCAAAATGATGATGAACAAAGCAGACCGAATCATCTCACCACAGGTTCCGATTCAACAAGTTCAGACTGTGATGATTCTACAACAAGTTCACTTTCAAATTCAAATTCAGATCTATCAGTAGACGAATTTGAACAAGATCAAACTCAATTTGTGGATCTCGAAGCAGGTCATCAAACTTGCCTTCAATCTGAATGTTAGTACAATCTATCCTCATACAACACTTTTCACCTTCGAAGCTTTACATTTACTCAACTCTTTGCTCTTCATCTTCAAATCCTCTCCCAGCATCGAGCACTTTTGTTCCTAATAAAATTGCCAAAATCAAACCTGGTCAAACTCCAACCGATGACCCGTCTCAATCACCTACCGCTCATAGCACTGCTACTCAACCATCTCTTACAAGCTCATCAGCTACTCGTAGGCATAAACAACAACCTTCACCTACTTCTACGACCACCACGACTACTACAACTACTTCTACCAATCAAACTAATCATGAAGATCTCACCGCTACCAACAACAACACCCCTAGCATCAATAACAATAACAACACTACCATCATCTTCAATCAAGGCTCTTGGATCACTGGCCTAAACACTAACACCAACGAAGATCAACCTACCGTTCAAACACCGCGTTATATCCCATTCATCGAATTCGACAACTTCAACGCCTACGGTTCTCTCATCTTCGATCTTAATACCGGTTTGAGCAGTCGATCACGTGTGGAGTGTAAGCCTGATGGTTTAGAAAAAGCTCCACCGGAAGCCCTAGAGGAAAAGTTGTAAAGGATGACCCTCAGTACAGATCTTTCAAATCACGAGCTAATGCAAGAGATTGAACAAGAACAAGCAGCCGCTCGACGAGCTCTGAAGAAGAGAGAGAAACGATTATCAAAGTTACGCGGAGACAAGCGGCCCAATTCGCGTCCTTCCACTGGTACCCCACTTACCGTCAATATCATCTCACCATCACAACCAAACCACCGTCATTCTGCTCATCGAACTGGTTCACCTTTACCTTCCTCGACTCGACCACCCTCCTCGCTTGCCGGTCACACTGCCAATCGACCTCCCTCTGCCTTCAGTAACGCCATCTCAGAAACCAATCAATCCGCTGCTGCTTCAGAAGAACCTTGGACTATTCCCCGTTCAGGTCGATTCTGGGGACATGACGATCGTCAATCTCACTCACAACGTGGGGGCCGTGGCATGCGTGGAGGTAATAGTCGAGGTTCTCATGCAAGAGGCCGTGGTGGTGGTGGTGGGATTATTAGAGGAGCAGGTCATCATGGAAAAGGTGGATTTCGCGCAGACTGGGAGGAGCAACGTCGACATCAACCGAATCTACATCCCAATGGCCCTCCTAACAATCACCATCTTCATCTACAGCGACCTGACACACCGGCTGGCCAAAGCGATACGGGTCGAAGTGTAGGCAGTGGGGCTGGTTGGATCACCGTACAGGCGAAACAGAAATCTTTTGGTAGTAATGGTCATCAATTAAGTAATGGAGATGGGGAATGGCGTCATGATGGATGGGAAGAAATTGAACGCGAGTCGGATCGTAAATCAGCTCATCAAAGGTATGTATCATTCATCTTTCTTGCTTCTCTTATCACATCGAAACTGACTTGATCATCTCGACGTTTGGTCGAATATCTTCATAGGGCAAGGGGATACCAATTTTACCGTGGTGGTGCACCTAATCGGAGAGGAATGGCCGTTCCAGCTAATCAACCACCGCTTCGATCCTCCAGTCTTCGAAGGCCTACCAACTCTGCACAGCCTAATCAGAATCATTCTGAAGTATCTTCTACCACTCCATCCACTTTCCAAGAACCTTTGGTGAATGGTGTCTCGAAAGTGTCGAAATCCGAACCCAACGGTTCTTCGACAACCGATGTACCTGAACCCACTACTAAATCGCCCGGTCCTGTCTCTACTGTGTCCGTCGGTCCTGGATCTCTCGACGCACCTACAGAAGCGAGTCAGGTAGAGAGCACCAAGATTGATGAGGTGAAAGTATGCTTAAATTCCAAGCACTCGCTTCCCATCGGTACCCCCACTCCGGAATATCAAGAAGACAAAGCTGAATCTGTGATACAGACGTTAGAGGCACCTGATAAGACCGGCACCTGCTCCAACACATCTGATTCTGCAAGTATCACCGTTGCCTCCTCGCCCGACAAGAAGTCAAAGGATGAAACACAAGTGAAGCGATCTCCAGCGGATGAGGATGAGGCACCGCGGTCGGGAATAGTAGTGAAGTTACCAACGACCATCAAGATTGGTACTATCCCAGTCTACCATCATTCTACCATCATTCCCGAAGTGTCAGGTGCCATCAAGATCAATGGTAGCACAAGCACGCCTCTAGTTCAACAGCCTCAATCACAACTCAATGAAGAACACAATGGAATCACAAGCAGAGAAAGGCCAACTTTCGATCTTCCTCCCCTTCCTCATCCTCCTCCTTCGAGTTCAATTACCCTGGGATCGATTGGTGGAGCCGAAATTTTACGGGAAGCAATGTCGGCTTCAATACATCACCTTCCTCCGCCCGTACCAGTACCGACACCGTTTGTGAATCATTATCATCATGATTACTATCCTCTTGAGCCACCACCACCGCAGCAACAAACAGGAATGCTTTTACAAGGAGAAGAAGAGGACCGATCGAGGCACATCAGCTTTACCCCATCAGCTGGTTCATCATCTGGCAATTCCTCGCAAACTCCATTTCCTCATGATCATCACTCACATCTACATCAACATCCACCAAACATGTTTAATTCACATCCACCCCCACCACCGCCACCCATCGATCCACAACATCATTTCAACCCACTTCATCATTTCTATCATCCTCATCCTCATCCACCACCACCATTACCACCATTACAATACTTTGATCCGATCACTGGACAACATATGATTTACCCACATCCACAACAACCACAACCATTACCCCCACCTCCACCTCCAATGTTTTTTGATTTACCACCTACCCAAGCACCATTACCACCACCACCTTCTCAACCATTACCACCTTCGAGTGAAAGTTTATTAACACTCTCTACACCTGGATTATATGCACCACCACCACGATCTAGTAAGGTTAGAATCAAAGATCCCATCTCGGGATTAGAAAAAGAAAAGTTTGGAGGCGAGATTAAGTGTTTTGAACATAAAGGAGTCACTTATTTTCATCAAGAACATCCATCAGCTGTTGTCACATCACCAGGAGCAGCAGCAGCACATCAACAGTCACAGAGGTAGAACTTTAGATCAAACGATTTATATACTTGTACATTTCTTTATACATTTATAGCAATCTTTTTTTTTAGTCTTAGATTCTTTTTTTTTTCGCCGCTTCTTCTTTTTTTCTTCTTATTGAGATAGATTGATTGAAAAAGGTTTAGGAGTTGGATATGTGGGTTTGGGTTTTTGGTAAGTTTGAAGAGAAGTTGCAAAAGAAAAGAAAGGTTGAAATGAAATGACAAAGTAAAATTAAAAACATTTGAACACAACAGAGATGAAAGTTTTGAAAAAAGAAAAGAAGAAATCAAGTTTTGAAGAGAGAAAAATAAAATTTTTAAAAGATATCAAGTTTATATATTGGGTCAATGAAAGAATGAGTAAAAGTCTTCTTTTTTTTTCTTTTGGTTTTCTTTTCTTCTTTTGGTTTCTTTCTCTCTCTTTTTTTTGGTTTTTTTGTGTTGTTTAAGCGTGTGTCAATTTCTGTGTGTGTGTGTGATTGTTTTTGTTTTTGTGAATTGGGGTTGAAGTAAAAAAGGTGTGAAGAAGACAGATAGAATGGTTATAAGGTGGGTTTTCATGAATGAAGAAGAAAAAAAGAAATTAAACATTAAAACAAAAAGAAAATTAACTGAATTTTGAGTGAAACTTTTTGAAAGAACAGATGAGAGAGAGAGAGATACAAGAATTATTTTCTATATGAAAGCTGTTTTTTTCCTTGTGTGATGTGTAGATTGAACTTTTGTTTGGTTTGGTTTTTGTGAGTAAGTGTATTGGGTTTATTGGTAAAACAAAAGAAGAAGCTTGGGAGGTTTTCTGGGGTTAGAATTGGTTTGAATTAATAGATAGAGAGTTGAATAATTTTAAAAGAAGAGTTAAGAATAAATTTATCCACTGGTAATCAAGATCATTTATTGACCAGAAGTTGAGTTTAAGCCAAACAAATTATTAATCAAAAAGAGTCAAGAGTTTGCTTGATGTAGTGGTTCAGCTTTCACTACGTTCATGTGTGTTGAATTTGTATGGGCGGTTTGAGTTGATCATCAAAGTGGAGTTGATGGTTAGAGGATAGAGCAAAAGGTTTTATTGGAAAATCAATTGGCATGATTCTTACTTGTGTTCTGGTTGAAGTGAGTTATTTAGAGGGACACATGTAGTCTGGCCTATGTATAACACCACTGTCACTGGGAAATAAGGGTTTCACTAGCTGTGAAAGGCAGGGGGTGGTGGGGATGTACTGGGATCCGTATTTGGCTTTTGTGTATATCACACTGGGTTGGTGATGTGTAATAGCCTTGTTCATATTCAAATAATTGGGTCTGTGAACATTTCACCCTCATAAAGATCTTATCCAGATATCAGACACTTGTTAAGCAGCTGCCTTGGCTATATAGTTAGTTTGTAGTGTGAGATCTGATAGGTACACATGGAATATAATAAGTCTAATTAGGGCAATAAAACTTGAAGGGTGTGTGCTTGTCTGATCTGTGTGTGCTTTGTGCCATGCTTGTACTTATCATAGCTTATGATAAACCCTAAATGCTGAATCTGTATGAATTCAGGGTGCCAAGCCAAAAAATTAACACACTTTGGGGTGAAATGGTTCTTGAACCCAGGTGCCACATTTACAGCTTGGGATTAGCAAAGTGTGCACCCATAATTGTAGCCCATTTTGGATGCAGTAATTCCTACTCCTATATTTGAAAGTGTGATTTAGAGTGTGTGGGAATATAGATAAATATATTGGTAGATATTGTCACCAAAAGATAAGATCAACGGTGGAACGGCTAAGCTAAGTTAGCGCTCAGCGGTGCATTAGCTTAATGATTTTTTATCGCTAAGCTAACGCTAAATCCTTAGCGCACTCAAGCTAAGCTAATGGATTTTTGATTTTTCCTTTAGCGGGTCTGCGCTAAGCTAAGCCGGAAGCTTAGCTATCAAAAAAAACATCTTTTAAGTGCAAAAAAGGGCCGCTAAGCCGCTGTGAGCGGTTTAGCGGCCAATTAATTGGCTTAGCGGGTGTCATTTTACGCCTGCTAAGCTAATGGCTTAGCGTTAGCGGAAATCCGCTAAGATTAGTGTTAGCGGATTTTTCCTTAGCGGCTTCTAGCTAAGCTAAGCCAAGGTAGCAAAAATCCTTAGCTTAGCTTAGCAAGCCACCGTTGATAAGATATTTGTGATAAAGCTCATTAGAGCTCATTATACAGCTGATTTGAGAATGGATACTTAACTAGAGCCAATATAGCATATCACACTGGCAATTGGTATTGATTCAGATGAAAGGATGTGTACATATAGATACACTTGTTATAGTAGAATTTATATATTTTAATCAGTATTTTTATTGCAAGTAAATAAGATTTACAACAATCTAAAAGAATGGTGAGGGGAGAAAAGCACCTGTGTCCATCCAAAGCTTTGGATATTATCCAAAGAAAAAAGGAACTTTATCTTCAGAGGGAGTCCACAGCCACCCTATGTAGCCAAGTAACAGAAAAGCTGCAGCTCCCACTCCTTTTTTTTCTCCAAGTCCCCATCCCAGGTACAGAACCCACCACCTCACCACTGCCTTTGACTGTCTTGTTGGTTCCTGCACCGACAAGAGCTAGGTAGAATCATTGTATCAGTAAAATTTGCATGTAGCATTCAGTGAACCAATATGGTTACTAGGTGTGTCTTTTGTGTTCTTCTTGCTATATGTTTGGTAGGTATAGTATGATGTGAGAGCAGGTTGGTTGGGTCCCAAGAACCTATACATTTCAAAGATCAGTCCTACATATGTAGTCAGTTAGACAGGGTGGGAATAACATGTGTTGACTTACAGAGCGGTCTTCAGGGTGGGATAGCTCACTTTCCCGGCAAGACTGAGCATTTTCAGTGCTTGTTGGAATGTGTCATGAAGCGCTTGCGCTTCCGAAATGATCTTGACTGACGGCCGGTTAGTGGAGTGGATTTTGCAACCGGCTAATACTTTTGCTTGATAAGCATCAGTCCAATCAAGACCCACAGTAGCATAGTTGGCCAATGTAGGAAGTACATACAATGTTTTCAAGAGTGATTTTCTCTTGATCTTGGTCTTCTTCTTTGGCTGGATCATCTTCATCCCTATTGTCTCCATCACTGTCATTGTTGTCCTCTTTGTCAGGATGGTCATCTTCTTCCTCAGAAGTACCCCCTTCTTCCTGAGCGCATCTCTGTCCTATGATTGAGATTGAAAAAGGTGTAAATTGTGATGGTCATGAGGTTCAAGATGAGATTGAGTGTGAGATTGGATATTACCACAAGTTTGCTGAACTTGTTGGTTGCTGTGAGTTTGCCTCTGAGTTCTTGCATGGGGACTGGTGCTTGTTGGTTTCTTTGAGCGCTTTGTTGCGGGTGGCATGTTGTGTGATCAATTAAGAGAGTGATATCAGGAAGCTTCAAAGGTGAGGTAGCAAGGTTGATCCTTGCAAGAGAGGTCTGATGGTATGAGCTGAGAAATTGAGCAATAAGTCTTGGATGCTTGCTTGGTTGGTGGACTGGTGAGTTGAATGGTAGAGTGTGACAGCGAGAAAAGACTAATAGTCTGTTTGGACAAATCCAGGCAGACTACCATTGGATGACTCCTTAAAAGGAGGTTTAAATTATAATTATTATCATTATGGATAATGATTAATGGGAGGTGGATCCAAGGCTTCCCTTTGACCTTCAAGTTTGATACATTGGAGAGTGATATTGAGATCACTAATCTGGTTGTTCCTAGAGTCACCAACTTGTGGCTGTTCTTGAAGTCACCAACTTATAATGTTTCTACTTGGGGGAAGTAGAGAATCCAGAAGGAAGGGGTCTTAGTTACTCTTAGTCAGGAAACTCTTCAAAGTAAAAGAAGTGAATCACAAATATAAGACTTTTGATTATATACTTCAGTATAGCTTTTAAGTGGATTTTTGAAAGTATTGTGTAATATAAGCTTGTGGGAAAATGCTGAAGGCTGAGAGAGGAGGGGTTTATATACTCTCCTCTCCAAACCTAACTGTAGTGACATTGGTTTCTATCACTAACATTTTTCAAGGATCTTTATTAATTATTATTATTGTTTGTACTTAATTACATATAGTAATATTAAGTACTTGTTAGGTACTTTGAGTATATTGACTCTTGACACTCTGTTATGAGGTGTAGTTGTTGTTTTATTAGTTATCACAAGCTATTTTAAGTGTACATGTATATGTAATTGTTATTTTTATATATTTTATCACATGCTACGCTGTTTACAGATTGGGTAAATGTATATGTACTCAGGACTGACAATATTGAACAGGTGTATTCTTCAAATGGAACACAGCAGGAAAGCCACATAAACCCTGAAAGATGTCACAAAAGGTATGGGTCAAAGTTTGATGTGTTCATGCAAGTTTTGATGCACAGTCAGAATCATATAGTCAAAGAATTATGAGTGTGGCAAATGTTCATCTGTTATTCTTCCATTTTGCTCAACCAGAATTTCTCCATCAATATACCCATACTATCTATTTTAATTGGGCCCAAGTTGATTCTTTCACAATAAATCTGGCCAAATCTCACCAAAATTGACCAAGCACATACATGCTCTCACATTCAACTTCTTTTAAATAAACTTGAGTATTTGTGGACACATTTTGGGGAGGCTTGATAATTAAATAATCAGAATCATATATCACACCATTCAACTTGCAGTATGAGATTTGGACATATTTTCATTTTGGTAAACTTCTTGTTGGATCACCAGGCTGTTGGCACCACAATATTAAAGCTTCTTGAGATCAAGTATAATGGGAGGTCCAATGCACTGGGTAGGCCAATAGCTTCTGGATCAAATGATGTTGTCTACCCAGTGGCAAATGAGCAACTAGAGAGGAAGATGGAATATGCAAAGCAGATGAAGGCACAGGAATACAAGGATTTTGGCCCACCCCCCAACTCTGATGCAATTCCTGAGATCAGCCATAGAAGCTTGCAACAAACATGTGGCTGCACAATGATGGCTGCACCACCTATGCAACAGTTTAAACCTCTTCAAGTACAAACCACAAAGCCAAGCAACTCTGAATTACAAACAAAAAAGGATAAAGGATGGTCACTGGGAGTAGAATTGGCAGCTGTTCTGACTGGTGCAATTCTTGCCTTGTGTTTCTACACTGCCAGGATCTTTGTCAAGTTAAGAAGAGAAGTGCACCTAGACAGGTAAGATGAATTGATTTGAAATCACTGCTGGAGATCAATGAGCTGATTATTCTTGAGTTAGAACAGCCCAGGAAGCTGAACAGCAGCAAGAGATGGCAACACCTTAACTTTAATCAATGGTTTGCATCACAGTGAATTTTTGGGATACAAATATGCGTGTCAGCTAAAATTTGGCCATGTTGATGAATTCATTGTGTGGCAATGCCATTGCTCATACCTGTCCCCATTTTTCCTCTTTTTTCCTCTAGTCCACCCAGCATGTTGAGATTGATAAAATAATCTTTGTTTTGGTATTTCATTTTGTGATTGAGTATTGGTATTTGTGTTCAAAGTGCATGTGATTTGGTATTTTTTTCTGGCTTCTTACATTCAGTTTAGCCTTTGATGATCACCTTGAAGGCTCTCCAAGTATCATATCCTTGGGCCTCTAACATATTTTCAGTAATTCAACAACCTGTTTGGCCTATCATATCCCAAATCTCAGAAATATGATTATTTTAATCCCTTTCTGCATTGCAACATTGCATACTCAGAGAAATCCATTCAAAAACCTTGTCAATTATTCTTCCTAGAGGGTCAATTACAAGCAAAATTGAATTAGATATTTGTTCATCCCTTCAGTCTTGACCATATATCTCCACCCAAAAAAACCTCTCTACACTATAAAAAATATAACCTTTACCAGGCGGAAAAGAAAAGTAATGATATAGAAAAGTCCTGAGACAGCAGGAAGAGAGCAAAAAATCCAAAAAAAGATGTAACTTGTTCCTAGAAGTTGGAGCATCACAATGAGTATTTTTTTGTATTTTACACACAGGTATTGGCTAATGTACTAACAATAAAGGTTGAAAATCATCAAAAACCCACCTGTAACAATGCCTGAAATCTGGCCCATGATTTTGAAGAGAGGATTTTGAAATCTTCAAACATCAATAAAATTTGCAGTTCTGAAGCAAATCACTTGTTTTTAAGTTCATTACAAAGGTGAGTCTTCCCTCTACAAATATCATCCAGACATCACATCTGTAGCTGTTCTTCAAACAATTCTACATGGCTGTTTATGCCAAACTGCTTGAACAGCTATAGAGTGGTTACATGACTAGATCACACCTTGATACCTTTATGAAGTGTAAAGAAGAAGAGTTCAGCTTTTTAATAAACTCAAAAACAAGTCATTTGCTTCAGAACTGCAAATGTTGTTGATGTTTGAATATTTTAAAATCCTGTCCTCAAAATCATGGGCCAGATTTCAGGTATTGTTACAGGTGAGTCTTGGATAATTTTAAACCTTTATTGTTAGTACACCAACCAATATCTGTGTGTAAAATATGAAAAAATACTCATAATGGAGCTCCAATATCTAGGAACAAGGTGCCTATTTTTTCAGATTTTCAGCTCTCTTCCTGTTGCCCCAAGATTTTTCTGCATCATTAGTTTTCTTTTCCACCTGGTGAAGATTATATTTTTTGTAGTGCTACATGGTGTGATGCACCAAATTTGGTCATGTATAAATTCATGGCTTAACTCCCCTTTAAAACAGATGTAATAATAAGCTTTGATGGCTTCAAACCTCTAAGGACACGTTCACTTAGGTGATTTCTGGTGAGAAATCACATTCTGCAAAATTTAAAATGCTCAAATGGAACTTACGGGAAATGACCAGCATTTTAAATTTTCATAGAGTGTGATATTTGGTCAGATTAAATAAATTGGATACAAAGACAAGAAAAATCAAATATAATGATTATACATTTTTTTGAAGACTTCTTGGCCAACTGAGCTTGAGTTCTGACAGATAATGTGAGCAAGAGGTTGAACAATAATAGTGCTTTATTTATTGTTTTCTGATGGAGCTTCAGTTATTTTTATTGTCATCAAATTATTCAAGCAATCCTTGGTTACTCAAATAACCTCCTTTGAATACCAGAACTTCATTTACTTGGCTTTATATGACACTATCTGGAATATTATTCATTATGAAAGATTATTTTACTTTGATGTTAACACAAACAGAACTATTCCATTTGAAAGATGATGTAAATTGTTTTTCTGTTGTGTTATCCTTTTTGCAACTTGAAATAGTATTTCTGTCCTCCATCATTGTTTTTGCAACTCAAAATATGTTTCTCCATCCTCCAATATCCCTTTCACACCTTGAAATATTTTTTCTGTCCTCCTTTATTGTTACTGTCACTCAAAGTATGTTTGTCCATCCTCCAATATCCTTTTCCCACCTTGGTTATTGTTTTTGCAACTGAAAATATGTTTTTCGACCTCTGTTGTTGCTCTTGTGACTCAAAATACTTCTCTTATTGTGTAGAATCAGGTTTTCCAAACCTAGTGCTTTAAGTTGATAGTATGGCAGTGGCTTTGGGATTCAAATATGTACCATCTGGAATTTATGGATTCTTGATCCAAGTTCCAGTCCAATGCTTTGTACTAGTGAAATTACTCAAAGTGCTTCAAGATGTCAATAAATACAACAAGAAACTGACTCCTACTGACTGGTGGTTTTCGCAAAATTCCTCATTCTACTTTGGTAGGTGTATTATGATTTTGGGTGCAGTTCTTCTATCAAGATATACCTTTTTAAACTTCATACATTTGTCAAAAGTACACAACTCAACTCACCTTCCAACCTCAGTAAATCTCCATACAGGCAAGATCTCAATCAAGTTGAAATATTTGTAGTCATGAGCAGCAAATTGATTCAAGAGAGAGATGTGCCATGTATTGCAAAAATTAATCTATGTCAAAATGAGTATTATAATTGAAATTACATATCAAAACGTCAACAATGTTCCCAAAATTATAGAACCAGACCAAGAGTACAACATAAATACAACCAATCAAAGTTACTTCTCGGACTACTACGGCCTGTGTTCTGTTAGACCAAAATATGAGTTGAATATGTATCAAAGTCTTTCAAAAAAAGATGAAATCAAGAAAATTAAGGATAAAGAATTAACTAATACACTTAGAATTAAATTAGAGACAGGAGGCGCGAAATGAAAAAGGGTTAGTACCTTTTTATAAAATTCACATGGAGGTCTGATAAGAGAATGGTTCAAAAAGAATCTCAACCCTCACCAAATTTAAATATTCACATGCATTCAATCAGACCAGTCATCATAAGCATCCGTACATTCAATAGTTCTTGAATTTCTGGACCCATCTATAAATTTCACATCATTATTCAAGCACCAATCTCGGATTTCATTAAGTTCACGTAAACTTTCTTCATCGCAATCCCAAGGGGGTCCAAAGGATTGAAGTTTAAGTTCTCGAAGGTTTGATCCTACTTCTGGTTGACTAGGTAAACCAGACATTCGAATTGACAAATGTGTAACAGGGCGAAGTAACGGTGCTAACCAAAATTCGTGCATCGGACGAGCGTAAGTTGAAATTGAAAGTCTTTGAAGTTTCGGGAACCGAGATGACATAAGTGCCCGTGGAAAGCTGTTGTGAAAGCATAAGGCTAAATGAGTGAGAGGTGAACATTTGAGAACATCAAAGACTGGTGCTAGTCCGGCATGGAATGCTCCATGAATGCTGACCCGACGCAAGGTGGAGGCCAGAGGTCTGAAAATTAACTCAAGAGCTGTGCATTCATGTTCTAGATACAGCCTTGTGGATAGATCCAAGTTGGTGATCGAGGTGGAAACAGGAGCCAAGTCTTCGGAGCCTCGTCGGAAATTCAATACGTCAAGAGCCAAGCTAGTCAGATTTGGGCAAGCTCTAAAAACATCGTACATAGATTCAACACTGAGGGTATAGACATAAAGCTTGAGGGTTACAAGGCCTTCGAGCTTGAAGGATGGGCGTAGGGGTATTGTCTCAAGTAGAACTGATGCGCAAAATCCAGTGGCCACCAAGACCTCCAGGCTTGTTGTGAGTGGGACTAAGGCATTCAACATGCTGTCCATTAACATCGGTGGTTCAACGTAGTGTCCGAGGTCACGCAAGTGCAAGATACGAATCGAGTGGGCAAAAGACCATGAGCTATGTGTTTCTAGCCATTTGTAGCGTAGTTGATAAGGTGAGGCAGTCGCTCGATCTTGATCAAAGTCATGTACCATTTCATACATCAATAATGGCATCAAGATGCGGTGAAGTCTACGGCAGACGCGAACGAGGGCAGCTAGGGTACGTTGTGCTTCCGGGGACGGTTTGCTACTCCAGTCGGTAAGAACGCAATGCGGTGGTGGCCAACTCGGAGTGTGTACAAAGTTTCCGATGTACTCAATGATCTCGTCCGGTAATCTTGAAAACAGGTCGCTATTCTTCTTAGGGACGATAATACGACATGGTTTGCGGGGGTGAGGGAATGGATCGCATCGAGTAGATCTAGGCGGTATATGGTTGGCTTGAAGGCTTGTTCCATCTTGTTTAGGGTCTCGTGTAAGTATCATCTCTTGAGACGCAAGAGATATGATGTTATAATGGAATGAAAAGAAATGTGTAAAGGACTGGATGATGAGAGCTCAGGACACATTAACTCCCAGTGTGACATTTTTATAGACTCAAAGAAGAAAGACATGCAAGGAGTCACACTGGCATGACCTGAAGAGAAAATCGTTCACATGAGCACGGAGAAAAATGACTTAGGAGACCAGTTTCAGATCAACAGGCACCCACTGAGCCCCTGCCAGGACTTGCTATGTAGCGATCGGGAGACCAGTCAAAGCTCGCCGACACGATCGTAACCACCATTACGGGTGTATACCATAAAGGGGTTGGACATATACCTCGCGCCCAAAAGTTCAAGTCTCCAAGTTCGGATTCACGAGTGACTCAGTTTACCTTGCCATCTGCGGAGATGTAAACTGCGTTGCACATACATGAGGAGGGGAGATCATCAATTCACCCCGCATCCGCTTCGTTCTCAACTGGACTAGTACCACTTGAACACAACTTCAAGGAGTGAGAAGATGATCCTCAACATAACAAAGAGTAATCGATGGAACTTGAAGCCATACCCTTCTCCTGATTGCTTTGGGCCTTCGAAAATAGAGATCCAACGAAACCTTTTGAAGATATCATCATCGGCCTTCTTTATTGGTCTCACAAGAAGCTTACACCATTATACAATATTTAGTCAAACAAATAAGGTGCAGAACACCGTTCATGGAAAATAAAGTGGGCCTTGCGCATAAGAACACAATCATTGAATATAGCCATAGTTATCAAAGAAATCAAGTGCCAAGTTATTGAATCCATACTCAAAGCTTAACAAGATCTTCCTCATCTTCCTGCGAGCTGAAGGAAACCTTTTGGTCTCACCCAAAATTCCTAACTTTGGAAAAATCATCAAAGGTGAAGATGTCTTGCTTATCAATCTGAAACTCGTCAAACACGGTAACAGCTGGTAAATAGTAGGATATGCTTGATTGTCGAGCATAAATTGAGGCTGAGCAAATGTAAATTATGTTGATGATTTTGCTTAAGTACTTAAATCTTAAGTCTTTATATCCTCGCTTCAAGTTAAGTTCAACTCTCGATCATCCTCAATTCGATCGTTTGAAATTGTTTAGCAAACCAAATCACCTTTTTTGTTTTCTTTCCGAATTCATTGTCAAAACGAGAAAAATCTTTCTATACAAATAATCTAATATGATCTTCTCAAGATATCGTTCTCTGATAAATAATATTAATTATAAAAGATTAAATTTATCTTGGACATTATGGTAAAGTACCAACAAAACAAGATATATTTTGTAAACCATCATCAAGTTCTAATCATCACTTCGATTTTTTTGTTACGATTTGAACAGGATTCCAGTTGGATTTGTTTTAACAGTTAGTATTTCCTCAAAACATAAAATACATCAATGAAAGATATCTCCAATTCGATGAAAAACGTGTGTGTTTTGAAAATATAGGAACGTACTTATAGTTTAGTTCAAATTAATGGTTTGTAAGTCTTTAAAAACAAACACCTTCCTCGAAAAACCAATCTCTCAAAAAAACCTAACAATTTCTAAATACTTATCAAAAATTAGATCAATGCAAGTAAGTTGAATTTTTTTTTTGAAAATCTACTGTTGTCATCCACCAAACACTGACCAATTCATTTTTATTTCGTTATCAAAAATAAACATCAAAAAGCCAACCTTAAATCCAAACACATCTAAACTAAAAAAAGATATTATCATTATTAACAATCATCAAAAAACGTTTAAAAAAGGTGATTTAGTTTTACTTTAGTAAGTTTTCATCTCATTCTTATTCTTTTTTTTCCTTTGACTTTCTGAACCAAACAAAAAGCATCATCATTCATAAATTACTTGTTCTTTTTTTCTTTCCAAAAGTCATCCATCAGATCCTAAAATTCTTTTATCGAAAAGAATTATTGGATTAGAAGGAGATATAATTAAACCAATCCAACCACACAAAGGTATATAAACCTACCATTTTGAATCTCTATCCCTTAAATCCCAAACTCACTGTAAAGCTCTTGGGATCCCCCGCGCGTTAATCTATTGGTTTCTTTGGTGAGGATTTCCATTAGATTCGTTTGTAAGGATTCCATTGGGTTATTGTTGGATAGAAGGAGATGATCCATTTCATTCACAAGATAGTAATACATTCGGACCGGTAAACGTTTTCTCTATCATTTTTCCTTTGTCCTGTTTTTTCTTCTTCTTGATTTTAACTTTCAAACTGATTTGATAATTTGTTGGTTTTTGCAGATTCCAATCGGATTGATTTCTTCTAAATTAGAGATCATCATTTATCCATTCAAGTAAATCCTTTTTCTTTCTAATCTCTCCTTCTTCCTTTCTATTCTCTCTTTCTTTTTTGGATTTTGGATTCCCTTTTGGAAGAGCTAAACAATATCTTTTTCTTTTTGGGTGATATTGAAAATAATCATAATACTCATTCATAGTCGATTTGGTTCGATTTTAAATCATACTTTAAACAAATCACAACAAAAAAGATTAATTCATCATCAACCCTCAATATAAACTATTGCATCTCCATCTCCAATAAATCTTGGTTCATCTTTGTTGTTGATTTTTGTTGTTCATTTTCTATTTTCCATTTTCCATTTTCCATTTTTCATTTTTCATTTTTCATTTTCAAATCCTTATGTACCTTTTTATAAATCTTTATAAATCTTTCTAAAGCTTCTAATCTTCAATCTTTCAAATCTCTACAACATACATTCTATTCTTAAAGTCATAAACCTTTTTCCAATACCCAAGCACAACCACACACACACAACAAAACAGACCACACTTTTTGATTACATTCCCGTTGCCCCTTAAAAGTGTTTAAAAAAGACGTAATAGTAAGCTTTGATGGTTTCAAAGCTTGCAATTATGTTGTACCAATGCTGAATCAACCTTTTTTATTTTCCTTACAGAGGATCAGTGGGTATGCATGTTGAACCAGAGCCACAACAAACTCGCATGTAACCAGAACACCTTTCTTGCCTTATGCCTCACAAGTGACGTGTTGCAAAGTGATCCCCTCAACCAAAGCTTTAGTACTTCAACCCTCAAGTTTTCTGTAGATCAATCTATTAAAATTTTATGTATATAAAACTCTAACAAAAGGGAAATTCAAATCAAAGAATTTTTGTGAAACGGTTCAAAAAAAAGACAAGTTTTTTATATTTTTGCAGTGTTTTTTTTTTTCTGCAAATATAAGGTCAACAGCTAACTTAATCAAGTCCCCTCGAGTCCTAGTGCCCGGGGAAAAAAACGCACAATTTCAAAAAAAAAAAAACTTTTTCTCCATCATGATTAAATTAAAACAACCAACCTAAAGCAAACAACAAAAAGTTCATTTCCAAACAAAAAACCCCATTCCCATCCCTTCCCGAAAAACTTCTTCTTCTTCTTAAAAAAAGCATTACAATCTCAACACGATATCCCAAAACAAATGTCCATAAAAAAAACCCCCAAACCCCAAACCAAAAAGAATCATCCGCAAAAACCTCAAGCAAAGAATCTGCAAAGATCTCAAGCAAAGAACTGAGTGACAATCGGTTTAAAAGCCGTATTAGAAGGAAACACCTTCAAAGGAATCCAACACTCAACCATCTCGACCTTAACAGGCACCAAGACGATCTGATTCTTCGACTGATCAGTTTCATGTGTCATTTCATACTGGATCGGTACATAACCTAGATCAGGTATCGGTTTATAAACCGTTCCATGAGGATTTTCTGAATTTTTTAAAGGAATCAAATGGGTTGGAGTCCTAATTTTTTGGGTGTTGATGGGCACTTTGATCGTTGGTTGGAATCCGTAGGCGAAAGATTGACTTCTGGTATGTTTTAATAACTTATGAGAAACTGTTGAGTGAAGTAAATGAGGATCTTTTGAAAATTGATGTCCAGCAGACAAAACAGTTGAACCGATCCTTTGATGTGCAGCTGCAGATGAAGTAGTAGTAGGTTGTAAACCTTTAATAGAAGAATTCAAATCACAAGGTAAAAACAAAAACTTGACTCTGATATACCAATTGAGTTTAACCGATGAAGATTCAAATTCAGGTGTTCCATCTGTTGGAATCACTAATGAAAACTTGCATCGGTTTTGGTTTAATAAAAACTCTTCTTGATCTGAATGAACTTTCTTGGTCATGAGTTTAATCTTTTCTTTGTTAAGATCACTTGGATCGATGAGATCATTAGGATTGATGGTTTCGTTTGTTTCAAGTGAAAAGGATGCTTTGATCACTCTTCCTGTATCGGTGCTTGTATTGAAAACGATGATCCCTTCGGCTATTTCTCCTAACCTATAAGCTGATTTCACTAAAGTTAATTCAGCTACCAGTTTTCCATCTTTATTTATATCAAATGAAACTATCGGAACCCCCGGCAAAAAGTCAAATCAGTTCTAAAACCTTTTAAACCTTCTTTTTCTCGATTCTCAAACTTACCTTTTCCAGAAGATCTCGTCACAATCTCAACTGCTGTCATACATCCACCTGTCATTTCATCTTCAGGTTCTTCTACTTCAATCGATCTATTAATCAATTGTCTTGCATAAGCTTCTAAATCATTATCGCTATCAACTTGAGTTTTTTCAAGTACAAGGTTTTCAAGTTTTCCAATTTGAGCTAGATCTCTTGTATTGATAATTGGAGAACTTAGATCATAAAACGGTCTGGCTCCATTCACTATCACCAAACCAAAACAAAACAAGTGAGTTTAGGTTTTTTGGAGGAAAAGTTTAGAGACAGTTGATTACTTACAAAATACATGGTTATAGACTCGGATTGGGACTCTGATGATCTTGGTTCCTGGACTGCTTCCTACTTGGTTTCTACCTCTTGGACCTATTCCTCCATTATCATAACTAGTTCCCACAATTAAATTATAACTAAACTTGATAGATTTACCTCTAAAAGATGGAGGTAATTCTTGTGGTAAATCAATTGAAAATGTATCTATTCTCTCCATCAAAACAAAACCAAAACGAAAAGACATCAGATTTCGAAACTCAAACTCGTTTGGGTTTTGTTTTTTTAGTCAAAAAAAGACTTACATGTTCTTGATTCTCCTGCTCTAAGATGTAAATCGACATCCAAGATACTCACCGGGTTCTCAAACACAGGTAACTTCTGACCTTTACCCTGTTCCGAACCTATTCCAGAAACCCTTGTACCAAACAACCAACCTAACCAACCAGCTTGATGATCCGAACCGATTTGAGGTCCTAATTGACCACCCCCCAGCTTGGTCGTACGATTCTTAAGACTATCAAATAGATTTGATTTGATCAATCGATCATCGTACTCGAATATACCTTCTAGTTGACAATAAGCCCATCCTAGTACTAAGTCTGTCTTGAAGGCTTCTCGACCGGCTGGGGCACTATGGCCTTGTAAGGAAAATGATCGGGTGGATGGGATAGTCACCCATTGAGGTCCTGGTGAGCTTTGGCGACGGATAGGGTTGGGTACGGGGAACTTCTTGGGTTGGGAAAATGGGGTTAGGGGAGATCGGTTGGGTGATTGGGCATCGGATTGATGGTCCTCTTCTTCAATCGAAGCTGTAACTGTAAGAAAAATGAATAAAGAAAGCATGGGTTATTATTAAGCTATTCATTTTTGATTTTGTGGATGAGATGATGGATTTACGTTGGGTACGAAGAGGAGGTAGATAAGAGGCTGATCGGATGATAGGTTGATGATGATTTGGAGAAGCTTGAAGAAGTGAAAGAGAAGGAATCGAATAAGATCTAAGATGTTGATGATAGTTTTCTTGGATTGGTCGATGATGATGATGATGAGAACCGATTAGACCATTTCTGATTGGAATGATTTGATGATTGATAAGAGATGATTGATTGGTTGAAATTGAATGATAAGGAGATGGTGATGAAGTACTTGGAGTGTTTGAAGTGAATTTAGTTAATGAAGATGATCTTGAGTGTAGTTCAGTTGATGGATTAGTTGATAAAGTGTTTTTGAATTGGATCGTACATTGAAATCTTTCACCAGCAAAGTAAGCAGATTGATCAGGTTGAACTCTTACTAACAATCGAGAACTTGAACTTGAACTTGACATCGATCGATCGATTAGGAAACTAACCAAATACAATAGTGTCATCAGAATCAAACTCGAATTATCCCAACTTCTCAACAGCTTTACTTAAGTACTTAATCACTTTAACACCATACATATACTTTGTATCATCAAACCTTCTTCACTTTCTCTTCACATCTATCACTTCTACTGCGGCCTTCATCCAACAAACATAACAATGACCTCATCCACAACATTCTGCTCAAGCACACTCACAATCACTGCAAACATTATTCAACTTCCCCAAGTGGGCAGGAAAAAACGATTAGGAGTATGATTTGTCATAAAATGATCTATCACTCCACACCTGAGCCATAACACCCACACTACATATATCTATCTGGCTCAGTGAATATGTGGTTATCATGTACATACAGTTCTGCTCAGTTATCTGCTCATCAGCATAACTTATTCTTATGTAATACATGCTGTAACTTTTTTCAGGTTGACAAAAACATTCCAAAAATTAACTACATACACTTACTCAAAGTTTTGGTGCGGATTTTGTCAACTAAACTTCATGTAACACCCTTTCTGTTACTGACAAATGGCTACAAGAATCTTGCCTGAGTGTGAGTAGCCAGGATGCACAGCCAGCAAATTTACCTCAGATGTGAAAATCCGAGGAGACCAGAGATTTTGACCCTGAGGATCCAATTGGAGGCAACGGCAATGGCCAAATTTTGCCTCAGAGGCATTCCTTGGGTGCCCTTCTCCTTGGGGGGGGCATCACTGTGAACATCATTCAACTTCCCCACATTGGAAGAGGAAAATGATGAATAGTACAGTTTGTCATAAAAGAATCCAATACCGCTCACCTGAGCCTCAACACCCACACTACATATGTGTAGTACGCTAAGTAAATAGTTTTCCATCATGTACATACAGGTCTGCTCAGTTTTTTGCCCAACAGAATATATAAATCACATGTCATACCACATGTAACTTTTTTGACTTGGAAAAAATTGTCCCAAGAATTCACTACATATAATTCTGTCGCTGCTCAGGCAATATTTTTGAAGCTATTTCTTAGTAACAGAAAGGGTATTACATGCAGTTGAGTTGATGAGATTACACCAAAACGTTGAGTCAGTGTATGTAGTCTATCTTTTGAATGCTTTTGTCAATCTGAAAAAAGTTACAGCATGTATTACATATGAACAACTCATCCTGATGAGCAGATAACTGAGCAGAACTGTATGTACAAGATAACCACCAATTCACTGAGCCTGCTACACATATGTAGTGTGGGTGTATGGCTCGGGTGTGGAGTGATAGATCATTTTATGACAAATGATACTCCCAATCATTTTTTCCTGCCCACTTGGGGAAGTTGATTAATGTTTGCAGTGCATCCAAGGACTCCTTGGATGTTTGTTGCCGAGACCACTATGCAGGCAGTGATGATATATGTAGTGGATTGTTGGGACAATTCTGACAATGGCAAAAAAGTTACATGACATATCATATGTGATTTATTTAGTCAGATGAGCTGACCTGTATGTACATGATAGGCAACTATTAACTAAGCCTGTTACACATATGTAGGGTGTGTGTGTGATGAATTCATCATGGTGAACACCTGTGAGTGATATATGTGAAACCTATTGGGCACATACATTACCTTCACTGCAATCAGGACTGTGGTGGATCATCCACTCAGTTGGTCCCGCATGTACACCATGGACTTCTGATTTAAATAATTCATCAAAGTACCCACAGTGGATTGATCCTGTGGTGTAGGATTTATACTGACATGCTTGTCTCAGTCTACACAGTTACAGAATCTATTACATATGATTTTCTTATTCCGATGAGCAGATAACTCAGTGGACTTGTGTGTAGCCAATAGCTAAAGATTTACTCAGACATTTGCATGTATGTAGCATATGCTCTATGGCTCAGATGTACAGTGTAAGATGATTTGATGACACATTCCCCTCTCAATCATATTCCCAGCCTAAGTCATGTTCCCATCAAGGAACCTACTTAATGCTGGCAGTGAAGGGTATACAGATCAATTGGAAGGGTAATACTTGAGGAGGAAGTGACTTGAGTTTCAATTGACCTGCATTTTTGATTGAGATTTCAGCTTTTGGGGACTTTGTGTGACATAAGATATCCCAGCATCTTGGCTAAAGTTCCCCCCATCTTCTGCAACCCAGGCCTGGAGATTGTCTTCTGTTAATTCTACATGGCACTTCATGCTCTTGTGATACTTGAAACTCCCCGCGACATAAATAGTCCATTGTCCAGGATTCTTCTTTTGCTGGGTTGAATCTTCAAGGAGTGTCTTGGTGGCCCCACTGTTACCCAAGCCAACACATCTCAAATTGATTTGGGCAAGATCAAAGTTGTTTGTAACCATATCAACCTTTCCAAGTCAAAGAACACTTAGATATGGGGAAATAGCTGACTAAGGGGGTTCCTGGAGTGATAAGGTCTGGAATGGCACTGTCAGATGACACCAAATCCAAATGACAAGATGGATTGCAACAGAGGATTCACATGTGAGAGAGAAGGCATTTTGAGCTGGGATTTTAAATCAGATGGAGACGGTGGTGAAGATAATTCTATTTCCGTGCTGTGAACAACAGCACAGTCCACAGCATTTTGGGCCAGATGTTTGAAAATTCAAGTCAACTGTGACAGAAATTCTAGCACAAACCTATGCTTAAAAATCCCTGGTTTCTAGACCAGGAAATCTGCTTGACAAAAGAGCCAAATTCAAAAATTCTTTGGTGTTCCAAGATAATTGGTTGTGTACAGTAGAAGCAAAATTCAAATTTGAAAACATTTGAGTCACATAGTGACTTTGTGATAGATACAAATAAGTACTTTAATGATTAGTTATATTGAGAAGCTTGAGCATTGAACAAAATTTCCCTACAGAGGGTTCAGCTAAAGTATCATCACCTGGAGGCTTTGACATTCCCAGTAGCCCATGTTTTTCCAATTCTTTTTTCAAGACGGTCATAAGTTGAGCTTACTATCTTTTGATACCCCTGAAGATAACTATTTTGAGGCAATGAAAAAGGTTCAAGCAATGCCCGAAAACTTTGTAATCTTTCTCGTAACCTTTTAATTTGTTCTGGATTTTTGATAGTCAATGTAAGGTCCATAGTATCTTCTGCCAGGTATGCGATCAAAGTGGCTATCTCTACACGCGAATTCGTATTCCCTTCTTCTTTTGTAAGTATCTCTATCAAAGGTTTTAGGGCGCTATAACAAATTTTGGATACACATCAATATTTCGAATTTGAAAAAGTTTGAGTGATCAAATTGCAAACCTCAGATCAGTTGAGAGGATTGCTGGATCCCTTCTTAATTTTAAGCCACCCTCAATTTTCTTCATAATCAAATGTAAGTCTAGGGATGGATATTGACGTTGAAGGTCATCACTCATGGTCCACCTCAATAGATCTGAGATACCGATATTTTCATCAACATTTTGGTCAGTACAGTACTGCAAATGACACCCTGATCACCAGATTATAACGGTCAATCTTACGTCTGGCTCTGTTGCTTTTTACATCCATTGATTTTAATCGAGAAATATCTGTTAAAGCGCCAATTATAGATGTATTCAGCATATGGAATCATATATCCGACTCTAGAATATCATCGAGGAGGTAGATAACTTACCAGCGCGGGATGCTGAGCTCCAGTCAGTACCCAGATCAGCAATCTTCATTAAATCGGGATAAGTGTATCTCCAGAATCGATTCAATGTCCTTGTTAGAATTGTATGAGCTAATGCAGCATGTTGATATATTTCTTTATTATCATGATATAGATTAGTAATCCTCAAAAATAAGTTTTGAAATTGTAAACATTTATCGGCCATCTCGATACCTACGTTCAACTTGGTTCGTGTGTATCGCATGGAAAGTTCAGTGTGGGATACTAGTAAGCTGAGAAGCTCGATACCATCGAGCTTGCTCTTAGTGGATCCTTCTGGCTGCAATAGAAACTTGAAAATTGGCTCCAAAGGACTTTTTAGAGTCAATAGTTCGGTCGCCGAATCTTGATTAGTAAAAACGATTTATCAAAAGTTTAAATGAGGTTCTGGGCGTACCGCAAGTCGGTAATAGTTGAATAGCTGTAAGCCTGAATAGCTTTCCGCGCTTCAATGCCTGGGACCGCATCTTCTAACTGCTTGGACAGCTGTGACTGCCGAATTCCTCTCGCTAGTCAAAATGATCAAGGTGGCTTAAGACATGGTTCTACTGGATTTTTGGACGTGTGTCACAAAGACTTACTTGTAGCATAATCCCTCTCCCCTAACAACCAGATTCATACAAAATTATTAAAAAGGCTACATTACGCGGCTGAAGTAGAATTAAACAACATACCAAGTGATGAACCATGGTACCATGAAGTGATTGATGTTCTGAAATCCATTTCCCATTTTCGGGAAGCTTCTTCAACCTCTTTGTTAGAGCTAGCCCTGCGAGCTTCTCCCAAATTCGACTTGGCGTTTACTTTAGTACCGCTGGACCTCTTGTTGGGGATCTTGGGAGGTTTAGGGCTCAGCTTTCTGTTCATCTGACTGATGTGCGCAGAGACGGGTGATGGTGGCATTGTTCGGAATGTGCTAGCGGCTGTTAAATCTTCAGCATTAAAGTTCAGATCACAGTGAGCAAGCCGATTAGAACTCTAGCTGTTTTTGAAAATGTGTTGAGCTAAAAACACGTCACATACCTGATATATCCGGCATGACACCTTTTCCTTTCATATCCAGACTGATGCGTTGAATTGTTGATGAACCAGACATTGAATTTCCAGACTTCAAGTCTTCGGCCAATTTAGGTAGATATTGGGTTCTACTTCTAGCAATAGTGGGTGTTGATTCAATATTTTGGATATTCCATATGAGGATTTCTAACAAGTAGAGGAAACTAAATCGTGCAGATATCCTTGACATGATGGTGTGGTAAGTTAATCTAAAAAAAGTGATGATGAAAGACAAAGGCTACTCCGTTGGACGTTGGAGGAGAAATAGCGCAAGGATATATGAATAGAGACTGAAGATTTATCGGCATTAGGATACAATTTATGTAACCCTCTCAAAATTAAAAAGAGAAGGCATATTGTTGTGGCTCGAGTTTTGAAACAGGTAAAAGTAGCCTATCTTGCTCGACTATATGATTTCGAGCAGTGAAAGGAGTTGACATGAGCGGCGGTGATGTTCTGCCTTCCCAAAGCGGGAACCCACGAGACTCGTTTTGGTCACAGCTTTTGTGAGTGCGAAGTATAATCTCTAACACATTTTGTGAGCAGCTGATCATGTATGTTGCTCTTCGCTCTGATTTCCCGACACGCTCAATCGACATAGCTGATCTTTCGCAGTTGTCACGTTCGATCATAACGTCGACATTTCTCGTAAATTGAATGGGTCATTCATCTGCAAAACCACCATGGTCGACATTTTTAACAGAACCTGAAACCTCGGAAATATTCAACAACAGCCGCTCTATCATATTGTGACACAAATAGCCATTCGGAGCAGGCTCGCAATAGACAAAACCTGTTGCCTCGAGCGCTATGAATTTTGTCTTAGCTATTGATCAAGAGACATGTGATTGCGGATGCGTACCTAAGCTGTAAGTTTGCTAACTAGCTACTGCGAACTGAAGGTCCCATGCTCTGTTCTTTCCTACTCCGCCTTTGAGCGTGAAACGCGGGATAATTATCGGCCTTTGATTCTCGAAACCTGATGCTACAGAACATCTCGCGATACTTTTCGGTAAAGGTGAAAGCAGTCACTAAACGTATCATCGATCCTTGCGCCCACGTGTTGAATCATCCCATGCACCCCGGAGTGTGATTCTGTTCTTCATCGTAAATTGAAACAGAACGAACGAAATGTACCAAGCGCGTGGAGTGAAGAACTAACGGCATCCCCTCACAGGGGCCGAAAGTTCAAACATCTGAAGTTCAAAGTTGGAGAACAACAACTTGAACTAGAAGTTCCTCGTTCAACGGCGCGCACCGCCTGATTCTCAAAGTTGTCCTTCTAGCCTCTGTGTGGCGCTACAAACCTTCAGCTCCTGCGGATTTGGATGCCTTTCATATTTTGAGGGGCCAGTGAATTAGAATTCATGTAAACAACTTCGATCACTAGACGTTTGTCCCGAATTCCTACTCAAGCAATTGGCCGTAAATTTTACAGCTGCTCAAGTGCCATCAATCTTTTCTTGTGAACAAAACCGCTGATTGTCCGTGGAGATCCGAACAACGAACTGTGCGAATCTGAGCTGATCTGAGGTGGCATACGTATATGGGGATTCGAACTTGAGCTAATAGTGGAAGGTATATATTCCTTCTTTTGCGCCTACCGCCATGGCGTGTTTGGTCTCATACTCGAACGTCCCCCTCGCCTTTTACTAGGGAGACCCGGGGATCAAGCACAAAGCCTACTCAACAATCTTTCAGATTCACTTCGGTGATGTTACTTTTTTCGTGATCTCCAAACTCTCCTTGAGTTCATGCTTTGCTCTGCCCACCTTTGAATTTGAGAATGGAACACATAATAGAACATGGGAAGTAAAAAAGCTTTTCCGGTACCAATCTGATGGTAAGGCACCTCAGTATCAATGAGCAGGGGCTCTGATTCCTATGGGTAAGAAATCTTCTTACTTGACATTTCATTGTGATCCCTCGGAGGGAAGCTCATGGCATACCAATAAGGTGTCCAAGAATACTAGCAAAGACTAACTATGCAAATCACAAATGGATTTTCATGGTCTGTATTTCATCATCAATGATAAAGTCTAGCTACAATCAAATTTGCACCCAATTATTGTCCATCCTGGTTAATATATATGCAGAAGTCTAGCCAGAACTCTTTGGGTTTGCTCAAATGGGTGTATATCTATCCATCTAAAGCAATTTCCTTATTTCTTAAATGAGTCCTCATGATTTTGCATGTGCTAAATATAATCTTGCAATGGAACATCTATGTTTACAGATAATATTCAAATTATCATACAAGTACCATAGGTGTTTTTCAATGCTCCAGATTGAATTCTCACATCAGATGAGTTTATTTTGCCATTGAGAGGAACCCTCAATTGAGTTTTAAGAGATTGATTGACTCCAACAGAGATAGCTCTGAGCATGGTCATATAGACACTATGTTTGACCTGCACAAAGTGCATCTACCATCCATATTCAAGTTTTTTTTCCTGAACTTAGGGCTATAAATTGCCTCTAGCCGCAGTACTCCATACCAGTCCATGAGGTTTCTGCAAGGATCATGACAGTGGTTGGGATCAGTTGAGCCATTTTTCAAATCCCAGGTGAGTGTATACTATGTGGTCACTATATCTGCACTGATTGCTGGTATGCATAAAGCACAAGTCTTGTTGCATAATCATTTTATGAATTTGCTTAAATAACTTGTCCCCCTTGAGCCCTAGGTACATTCATACTTTGCCGTAGAAAAGTCACTTAGGTTCTGACAAAGGTATGTGAGGGTAATCAAGTCAATCAATGTAGTTTGATGTACATATATCCTTGTCCAACTTGCTTGTGAGCCATTAATGGATAGATCTTGACAGAAATAAAGGCAAAGTGTTTGACTAAAGAGGGTAGTCATTGACTACTATTTCCATTCTGATTTTTTACTTAAGCTTGAACACGATTGGGGTCGTTCATTTCTGAACAGAACCAATTAGAAAGGTATAAATCAGTCTGCTTAAAACACCCAACAAGTTTACAAGAGGTCTTGCGGGGAGTGAGGGACTCTGTCAAGTTTATATCAGTGCGCTGGTGTGCAAAGGCGCTATTTATCAAGACGCAAAACTTGGATTCATCAAGTGTGATTGGTTTTGTTGATATCAGAAACTTACTGATTCAATCACATGCCATTGCAAGGCCCCCCCAGTTGGCTCAATGATGAGAGTATGTATCAATTCTCCTTCCTCATCTTTGGACAGAACAGCATATATCTGCACCTGGTCCTCTGACCCTTATTGTCTTGTAATTATAAGATGTTCATGACCGAGTTCCTTGAGGTATACTTCAATCAGATTTTGAAGAATCGGCGCACATTCCAGTATCTTGTCCCCATCTTACTGTATCAGGTCGGAGTCATGTTTCAGACAAGCGACGACCTTTATAATGATGCTGATGCTATGGTGCACTTGGTGCTACCGGACAATCAGAAAATTTACGTTCTATATGTTGAACGACATAAAACAATTTTTCCATCACAACTCATCCAGATCTTTCTTCTTTCCTAGCCCTTTCTTAATCATCGATATCTATACAAGAATTATGGAGCTATGAGCAAACTTTTGCTTTTGTTTCTTGGGTACGATACCCCAATGCCAAGGTAGTTTTCCAACCTTCCACTCTCTCACAGCAGGTAGAGCATGTAGAGTGTTAAGATGAATTTCCAGCTGAGAGCTGAGAGTTTGATCTTGTCGAAAAAGGGGATCTGAGCTTGGCTATTTACACACAAAATACGTGTTGATATCTGCTCAAAGAACTGGGCGTTCTCTGGATATGGTCTCTTGTCGATTCACCTACACATAGAAACGAATTACAGTAACGATAGACCAAGAAATCCAGCACATAAGATTTCCTGCAGGGTATACATATATACAAAGGTGTCGCGAAAGACACAGCTAGAGACTGAGCATCATATTGAATATGGTCTCAGTTTGTGAGGTTCGCATATGGAAGAGTGATCGAAGAGGTCTGGAGTTACAGTTCTGGTGGTGGTGTTGATGGGAAAAACGAACACCTTTCAGGTTATGATCACCGGAGGCATATGATAACCGGAAGGTGCCTCATCAAGATTTCAATAATGGTGAATCATAACTGGACGGGTAGCTCAGAAAGGTGATCGATACCATATCATTTTTGCTTTCAACAGACGGCAAATCATTGAATCTTTGATATCAGAAATGTCATCATCATCAGAGTGACGTACTTTGTTTTGCTTTAGTCAAATTCTTCCGTGGCCGTCTCTTGTATCCTTTTGTAAAGCTCACACCTTGCGTTCATTAGTCAATCTATCCTTACATCTCGTATCTCTTGAATTCTTCAAGAGCATTTAGAAATCCTATCGCATTATCCCTTCTGACTTCACTAAAATAGATTCAGTGACTTTCACCGAATACTTCTCTTCTCTTCTCTTCACCCAACCACACCCACAACCTCCGAGTTCGAGCCCTACACTCTACATAAAAGCCTAAATGGAAGAAACCGTGACTAAGAAGTGTATCGCATACACAAGACTCAGAACAGCATGTCCAAACCCTCAAGAAAAAGATAGTAAATGGTGCTCGTTACATGAAGAACTTCAAGGAAAACATATGAGAATTTATAAACAACATTCACGTGAATTAGATCAATATTTAATTCAAAATCCTTATCCTTTTCACAAATCAGAATATAAGTTCAATGGCCAATCATACGAACCTCAGAAACAGATCACTACTCGAATGATTCCTAGAGTTGAGGATGTGTTGAAGGTTTCTGACATTGAAACTTTGCGCTCATGGCATCAAATCTCACGTAGGATTTGGAATTTGACCAACAGGTTTAGTGCCCTTCATGTCTTCCATCATGATCCTTCTGGTCTGTAAATTTTGCTATGATCTGACAGAAATAGTTTGAATGTTGAATTTCTTAGGACTGTGATAGCTCGTGAACGTCATCATTCACAATTTTACCGAGATGGCGATGATGGTCATCGTCATTTTAATGCGATTTTAAGATATAAGTTAGAAATCGTAGAAGCCTTGATGTCAGCTATTGACGAGAAAATTTATAAAGTCAGTTCAATCGATCCACAAACAGATCTAAGAAACAATACTCAAACCTTTCTACCTTTCCGTGTAAATCTAGCTTACAGTGGCTTTCGAGGAAGCAAATTGGGTCTTAGACCAACCACCAGAATTAAATTGTCAAGATTCAGACCCGCTTGAGCTTGACTCGGACTCTGGTGGTCAAACGTTGACAGATATCAGTAGTGGAGATGATACAAACAGTTTAGATTTAGTTTCTACCCCTTCTTCGTCAGATGAAAGCGATCTTGAACCTGAATTCGAAAGAATGGAAGTTGTAGAAGAAAAAGTCAATCAACGGTCTAGAGGTCTTATCCTTCAACTCACTGGGTACCTTGATTTACCTTTTCATGCCTCGAAATTGGAAAAACATACTGTTTTAGAGTTGAAACAGATAGTGTGAGTGAAGTTTTATCTGATGTGATCGACATTTATAAAAAAATTATAACATCCCCAAGACTTATATCTAAATTCTCTTCTACGGTATCTTCTCTTATCGTGTCAACAGCCGTAATGTCTTCCGTAGGATCATCGTGCGTGATGCGGGTTTGTTCGTCAGAGCCAAAGAATTTGATATGAATTCATCTTCCAATATCGCATCATTGTCAAACGATGACCAAATTGATTGGCGTCAAAGTTCATACGTCTGTCCTGTAAGAGCTTTCATAGCAAGCGGAACACTTTCGTTAAAAGAGCTTCAAAGGTTATTCTGGAAAGAGAAAGCAGGCCCAGAGTTGATCAGGAATGCGATTTCAGATTTATTCAGATCAAATGAAAGTCATTCAAATTCAGATAGTAAGCTCAGTCAAACGTGATTATAATCTTGGTAAAGTAATTGACTGTACCGACAAAAATAGGCAAAGAGAAGATAGCTAGTACACAAAAGACGTCGGCGAAGATGTGGGTTTTAGGTGGCTATGTATGGAAGAAACCATTGAGTGGTCCCCTTCCAAGACTTGGGACTGATTACTTTTACGCCTTTGGTAAGTGAAACCAACCCAACTTGATTTAATCCCACAAATCACTAAGATATAGCTCTGGTTCGTAACCTTACATAATAGTGGGGTGCCATGGTTGTATGTTATCAACTTGTCGAACCTTTGAGGAATGGGTAGAGAACAGAAGACTATCTTTGATATGTGAGTCTCAACCTGACCTACTCTTTCATAGTTCTCGATTTTAATTGAGCTAACTCGTGTTATGGCATATGAGTCAAAAAGGTTCTCGATATCCAGATTGGTTAAATCAAGTCGAAAGTCAAGTCGAAAGCTTGTTCAGAAGTCTGCGCATCGTCATCAGTGGTCATAATTCTAATAGTAAACTGTCAAGGATCGAGAGAGTGATTCCCAAGTGCAAGAAGTTGAAAACTGTTTACATCGAAGTTCAAGAACGTCATTATGTATATCTTTGTTTAGTGGGTCGATTTCCTTTACATGTAGCTATGAGAATGATGACTGAAAACTGATCGTGAAACCATTTTTTGTGCTTCAAGCCATTGGATTCAAGGTCAAGTAAGATAATAGATACACTAGCATCAGATCGAAACTCTTTCCACGTCTTTTCGTCAAGGCGAGATACTGGTGAGATAGCTCATAAACCGATCAAAGAAACAGATCTTTGGTGTACTCGAACTCGTTCTGCATATTCAACTTTAGAACGTAAAAAGAAACCTTTTACGATTTCTACAATGTTTCAATCAAATCCAAATACGTTTGATTGTGCATTGAGAAGTTTAGATAGAAGGTTTGGGAGAGAATTTGTTGATTGTTGGGATGTTTTAGTGATGGATGTCAAGGTTTTAGAGTTTCAGTCGTTCTTGAGCTCGATTGGTGAGACCGTGATAAAAGCTGTTGGATATGACTCTGTGGGTGATCTTGATCACCTCAAGAATAGCTTGTCTGGGAAGCTTGGAGAAGAAAATCTGCTAGGAGATGGTCAACTCCGGAACTCTGATGTACGATATCTTCGTACAATCTTTAAAAACATCTTACAAGAAGATGGTAAAAAGTTGTAAGGTATATTTGTAAACTCTGAAAACAATCAGTTGCGCTATTTTGTGATATATATGACTGAAGAAATGTAAGACTCGTTTTCACGAAAAAATGTCCGCGGACATTTCCATGCAAGGAACCTGACTGTGGCCAGCTGAAGGGGCCGCTGATGATGAGATCTTGCCTTTGCCACTTGGACAAGTATATTTGAGATCAAGCTGCTCGACTCAAGATATCACTGCAGATTGTTGAAGTCGAGGACTTCTGGTGATACAGCAATTGACAAACAATTATGCCCTTTAGGCAATCTAGCGATGGGCCTGGATTCCCAAGTTAACTCTCCAGTGCTTGTGTTAAAGGGTGTCGACTTCATGCGGTTTATAAACCCTTATAATGGATTTGTTAAAGTTGAGTCATGTTCGATACGATCAAAGCAAGTAAAAGGTTGTGTAAAGAAAGTCAAAAGGCTGGATGATCAGACAGGCTGAAGAAGAGAGGGAACTCGCGGTATGGCCCTGGGGTGTTTTGTTACATGTGGTACGGCCCCGGGTCGATGGTATATGTAAAAGAATTCGTCGATGACTTCATCTTGATTTGTTTCTTTTTCCTTTCCTCTCCATCTCAGCTTACATTTTCATTAGTTCCTACTTTTTTAGACAACCAGCCCACACTGGATTTCGAACAATCTAAAATTCCCCATAGGACAAAGAGCGAAGGTCATCGCTAACCATACCTTGACTTAAAAGCATGTCATGTGCAATCACCCAAACTGTTATGCCACAATCTCAAACAACCTCAACTCATCCTGCCAATCCGGAAGCTGGAAAGACAGGAATTAGGAAATTTGAAATCGATGGATGGTGCATAGAAACCTGCAAATTGCCGATTTTGAATTCTGAACAAAGCAAGACGTACGTTCTGATACATCCCATCATTTATCACTAAAACGAGAACTGAAGGAACTAAATCTGTCGATCAATGTTGCTTATCCTTTTGCCACAAACAATGAAAAAAACACTCGTCGATCGATCGAACTTGAGAATGTTTTCAGTTTCACAGATCAACTTACAATTCCATTACCCGAAATTTGTTTCGGTCAAAATAGACTTGAAATCACACATTCAGCTTCAGGTTTCAAATACAATTTCAATACACTTTCAGCTCTTTTACTCGTAGATCCAACAGAAGGTTCAGAAGGTGAACATTTAAAAGTCGCTTACGCCGATCACTGGTCCAACTCACGGTTAGTGAATGAATCTACTAAACTCTTAACCTGGACAAAAAGTAAAAGATACAGTGGGATAGACAGTTATGAATTCGTTTGATCTTCGTGATAGTTTCTTATGAAATTTCATCTGTGTTGAGGATCAATTTATAGTAAACCGACTGATGCAGTGACTAAAGTCATCAACCCTTTTGATTGGACTTATACCACCAATTATATTGGAACAGATGAGTCTGCGAAAAATGTGCATCTCTAAAAAGTGACCTGTTCAATGATGAACTTGACTGATTCTGGTACTTTATTTCGTAGCTTTTCAAACGACCTGATGACGTAGAAAATCATCCAGGAATACCTCTTGCTGTCTTATCTCGACCTGATCCGATTCTCTTTTTTGATGAAGTAACACTTTTTGAAGATGAACTACATGATAATGGAATGGCTAGTCTTCAAGTCAAAGTAGTCAGTACCTTTCAATAATTTCTGATGTTACACGCTTAAACTGATCTTGATCATCAATCTTTGATAGAGAGTGATGCCTAGTTGCATTTTTGTGTTATCCCGATTCTTCCTGCGAGTCGATGGTGTAATTTTCAGAGTCTTTGATGTAAGACTATTTATCGATATCACAAAAAATCAAATAATCCGTGAAGTAAAAGGAAAAGAGATGTCATACAATGAAGTCAAAAACGTAACGATCTCCTCTTAATCTTGATACCTATTTATCATGCAACTGATCTAGGATTTCTTCTTGCGATCATAGAAACTTCCTATCGAAAAAGCACATGATCTTACCCCATTGACAGATGCGAATTGGGTAGGTCATGTGATGGGTATGATTCAAAAAGATTCAAATTTCCTTCCTCATTCTTTGTTTTCATCTATACCATCTGAGCGAAAAAGTTGGAAATCTTTTCTTGGTACTCAACTCGAGGTTGCTATTTTACAATCATGAAGGTTTGAAATGTATTCATTTTTTTTGGCGAGGTGAAGATTGATAGGGAAGTTTGAGGAAGAAGATGTGATGTAATACTACTTAACGGCAAGAGTCTGATTGCAGTGGCATCCATTCTAAGATGAAGTTGTCTTCTGAAATACAGACAGGAGTCTGCTTCGAGGGCCAGATCTCTTGCGCAAATTAAAGTGGATATCCATGTTCATATAGATATCTTCTGAAACTCCACACATGCTTCATACCTGAGCAGTCAAGTTTGTGAAAGACGACTTCATATAAGTGGGATCGATGAACATATATAATTCGACTGTGACGCAAAAATACTCATCATCATTCTCAGTCAACCAAGCAAAAGTCTGTTATATAAAACATGCAAACTAAAATCAATAAAACTTGAGTCGAATCAGAATGGAAAAGAAGTGACATCTTGTTGTAATCTTGACAAGAACGCGATAAATCAATCACATCGAAAGGGTGAAAACAAAAGACAGAAAGTTTAGCTAAAGAAAAATAAGAGAGCAGAGAAAGTATGATTGTTTGATTTCTAGGGATTATGGAAAGTATAATAAATATGGGGAGGAAACGGATGGTACTTCTTCTCTTATGCTTGCTTCATATGGTCACAATCATCTGCCAAATTGTTTTATGATAGACGTGAAACCAACATAAACCCAATTCCAAAACCAGACAAGATGCCAATAACCACTCCATCCCAAATTGATGAAGCATCGCTCTTTCTTCGTGTTCCAAACAAACTCGGAGGCTAACATCAGAGGATGTGATCAGTCTTCTGGTTTCTTTTTCATAGGGATTATTTTGGATTGATCACTCACCCCGGTGACAACAGGCACTCGAGCGGTTTGGAAGACGATTCCTCCAGTTGGTGTGGTACCTTGAGGCGTACCTGGAGTACCTGGAACAGCGGTAGGTCTTCCTTGGGCTGGGACTCCAGCTGGTCTTTCTCGAGGAGAAGGTTGAACATAGAAAGGAAGTACTGGTTGCATATCCGCTTGAAAGGCTGCTAGCGTCGCCGTATCATTGGTGATGCTATAGACGGCAAACAATACAAAATATCAGTTGAAATTCAATCATAGGGGATTTCAGTTTGAAAAGACTTACCGATAGTCACGTAGATCAGAGTGACCACCATCAGTTTCAAGCTTCTCATGCTCAAAATGCATCGTAAGTTTAAGTCTAGGGAATTGATTTAAAAACGTGGTTGAAGTAATACAATCTTGCCACCAAGCTCTTTGTAAATCGATAATCGATTTACTTGTAGATTGTGCATTATTGATCGCTTGTTCATGCCATGCTGCTCCTGATTCTGCAATCTTTTCGAGAAACATCACAAAAAATAGATTTTATATTTCATAAATGGTTTTTTGAGACGTCACTTGAATGAGTTGGGTTTCATACCATGCATGCTTTTCCAGGTTTTTGACAAAACGTATTGTAAAAGTTAAAGGTAGATGTTCCGGATGTTCCATTCAAGACTGAACCACAATAACCACCAGCTTGAGCTGCGTTTATGTTTTGGTAGTTCGGTCCTTTGTAATCTAACCTCGATCCAGATCAAATCGTCAGTCATCCACATAGCGGCACAGGTGGTACCTTTAATACAACGTACAGGTAGAAATACCAATCCAGTCAACCATATCATCCCCAGGATAGTAGGGCAGATAAGGATCATCAGAATTGTTCACTTGTCCATCTTTGTTGGTATCTAGTAGAGCCAAGTCAGCTGGACTAAGATTAGCAGTAGATTGACCATAAGGATAACTCTGTCCGGTGTTAGGAGCCCAAGCAATAGCTGTAGTCGGACTAGCAGCTTTGATGATAGGATACATTCGCCTCCAAAGAGCAATAAAGGCTGTTGGTTGAAACCCATAGGGATTCCATGTTCCTTGCATTTCAGGAGCAAATCGCAAGAAAACAGTTCGATTCAGAGTAGTTGTATTGGTGTATGATGATAATTGGGTGGCTAAAAGGTTTAGGTCTGAATCTGGGATGTCCAATGAAGTGGGATAGACTGTGAGGAAAACAGCGGCATCGGTGTTGGTTTGTTCAATCAGATATTCGGGCGCTGGACCACCAGCTCCTGTTGTGTACTATAAGAGGAGATTTCATTGAAGAATTGGCCGAGATAAACATTCAAGATCACAAGGAAAGATCCGATAAGGTCAGTCATAACTTTTTAGCAAGGAGTCTTATAAGATCACACAAGATTTAAAAAACAAACAAACATTGTATTTTGGCAAAGGAATCAATTGAGCGATTTGAAAGACACTAGCATTGATACCTAAGCGACGATTGAATGTATCTGGAGTATCACTATAACCGTGTTCAGGATTAGTCCAAATCCCAAACCAAACTTGAGGCCGTTCATTAAGAGCCAATTGTTGAGCATTTGATAAAAGTGACAAATGAGATAGAGTAAGAAGGATGAGTGACGAAATTGAGAGATGTATCATTGCGGTGACGTTATAATCAATCAGCTGAGGGTAAGGCTTTTACGAGATGAGAAGGTGGTTGCTTTTCTTAATGATTCCCTTTGTAGACTTTCGAACAAAAAAGGGTTCAATGTATGAAGAGACCTCAATGAAGCTTTCCAAATGAAGCCACACGGAAGTTATAAAAACGAGTCAGAGCACAAGATCTGAGGAGTATCAAATCAAATCGATTGGAAGGTGATAAAATAAAAGTGATCAATTTTGCTATCAAAGAAATCCGTTATGTAGGTGAATTATGGCAGATGTTGGGGATCCAAAAAAAAGGTCTTTTGGTGAGTTATTAAGGTTCGGTGGTCGATGAATTGTCTTAAGCGAACCGACCGCAAGAGTTGCGAGCAGAAGCGAGTCTTGAACCAGTGAGAAAAGGACGATAAACCAAAAAAAGAGTCAAGGTCGTTTCTTGCGATTGAGGATAAGATAAGATAAGATGAATGGAAGATAAACAATTATCAAGCAAGTGATTTGTCCGTCTTGCGTTGTGCAGCAAAAGAAGAGGTCACTTCTTTCCGGTAGGATCATGCAGTGCTCTTTATATAGAATCTAGCCAAAGAACCAGGGCCAGTCTTATTTGGTGGAATTCTCCCCTGGGTCTGTGTTGCTTTATTTCCATAACAGGCACATACATATAGTGAATTTATTCACGTCCAAAGTCATTTCATCGCTAACTTGGATGACATCTTCCTTGATGATCAAAGCTTTCCTTTTACAATTTTACCATCACCATGATACAAATCTGATGCATGAGTAGCTTTGACGTTCACTTCTTAGACTGGACACCGCAGCTACAGGCTGAGTGATTGCCCAGGATGACGTATGTGACTTCTTTCGTATAGCCTTCGTTGTTTAATGGTCGTCATTTCAAAGTTCAAACTACATATCATACTTTGAGCAATATGTAGCAATATGTCCTTTTCTCGTAAATCATCCACATGATGGAGCTAGCTTGTCTTATTTATTGATGATGGGCAGCCTCTATATATATTCACTTAAGAAAGCTTCGTGGGATGTGGAACAGATATCATCCAGGCTCTACTGAACTTCATATTATAGTACAGTCTTGAACAATTACATCAAAGTTGGTCGGTTCGGTTCTCGTAATCCGGCACGAACTCAAACATTGGAGATTGATACGTAGAGCAGTTCTGGTCCATATCCTACTCGTTTCGATACATGAGGATTTGCTTTGCTTTACGGAAAATAATAACTGTGCATGCGACTCCGAGGTAATATGTGCTTTCGACCTGCCTCACTTTGATGATTTATTTCATTGGAATTTCCTTTTAATAATGCTCAAGATGTCAGAATATTTCGACATACATATTTGGCACATCGTGAACAGCACCAGTATGGACATACTGCCCAAATTTCGCGGATTGACTCTGAGCAGATGAAGACTACATCCAGCAGCGATGGGCGAAATATATTTTGCAACCCTCGAAGTCTCTTCCTACTCTTGATTCCTTGAAGGGTTCGATTCCCGTATTGGTTTATTGCTGAACCGCGATCAATAAATCACCGCAGAGCATAATTTTGAGCTCAAATGCTTGTTTCTATACGGGCTTTCGTACCTGTCATAAGTAACTACATATTAGTCGGTTGGGTCTTTCCATGATTGATGTTTAGTCATGATAAGATTGAAGAGACTGAAATCAAGCAAACTTGATGGAAGTCAAGCTGGTCTAACAATTTATCTACACAGAAAACATCCAAATACACATACGTGAGACCGCTGCGATCCAAGTTTTGGCAAGGACCCTCACGAGAGCAAGTTAAGCGGCATTTTATCAACCTCAAAGAGCACATTGCATGCAAGCTCATCAACAGTGACAAGTGGTGCTTACATACCTTCATACTTTGCTTCATTTATTAAAACAATCTGAAAACACGCTGAATGGTCGAGAAAGCTTCCCGAGCCTCAGATTGAGCGCATAGCGCTACAAAGACTCAAAAAGCCCGTCATGGTACAATTAAACATCCAAATCTACACTTGAGATTTATTGATCCACGCCTAACTCATACAAATCTGCGCAATTGCATAACACCACGCGACTGCATGGGTGCGACTGGAACGAAATCACATCCCACTGAATCTGATGCACAAGGATGTTCTGGACGTTCACTTTCGCAATTAATCCAGCCATGAGCCGAATCTTCGAGTGAACACTACTCAAGTCATAGATGATCATATATCTCCTTGTGGCAGGGTTTTATTTTTTGCTTGAAGTTCTATCATGGCTGGGAGATTTCGGGGGGTTTCAAATTTGATGTTTGCCCACTCTAGTGGGGGGCGATGAGTTTATGCATAATGTGTGGATCGTTACGTAGCTTTTGAGGCGCGATCTTCAGAACTGTTCTCTATATGCCCTGTCGCATCACTTTCTGAAAACAAAGACCTGTTTGTTTTCTTCTTGAAAAGCGCTTATCTCGTTTGGAGCTTTGTGAGGCTGTCGTGAAGACTCGAGTCTTTAATTTAAGGAAAGCACTGGAATTTATCTCTTAGATATCTTGGCGGTCTGAGTGGTGTATGTATCTTCGGTCGACCGCCGAGATACATCTCTCAGGCGAAATGCTCCTTCGATACCCACGGCGTGACTTGTCTTCATGAACCGGCCTGTGCTGATTTGAATTCGCATTCTTGAGCAGCCACCAGAAGGATATAGATCGCGATGGATCATCAGATCCGCGAGTGAGCCCACGAGATTGATAGTTCGGGGACCACTTTGAACAGCTTTCCAAAAGCTAGAAGCCGCTTGAAATGGACGGCCATTCACCTTAACAATTCGAGTTCATCGCGCAGCCCTCGAAGTCAGTTTTTTTCCTCGAGTGCGTTGTCTTGCCCTTCAGGTTCCTGCCATATAAAGCACAACTCGCAGACTACCAAGTCAACTCGACACTGTCAAAAACTTTCTCTCTTTGCTTTTCCATCATGAATATCTTGAAAATGATGTTGATAACTTTCTTGGGTCTAGGTTTGTGGTCGAATAGATATCCTTATGGCTATTTGTGATTATAGACTGATGTGATTCAATACTTATCTTTCAGGCTTCGCACTATCAAGCCCTCCAGTACAAAAGTAAGTTCACTTGAAAGAAATCTTATATTTGTCCTCACCAACCTGTCTATTTCCTCTTTTCTGAATTCAGACGTCCGATCAACTCACTGCACACTCGCGAGCTTCCTTTCGGCCCGGTGCTTGAACAATACCAATCTTTGATCGCTCCCATCGAAGACTGTCGAGTTCAATTACTACCTGGAACCCTTGAGCTTCATGTAGTAATCAAAAAGCTCTTGAACTTGGAAATATTCCTCAACGCTGTTATTGGAGGAGTTGGACCTCGCTGCGATCCTGCTCCAAGTTTGATTGAACTAGTGAGTGTAATATCTGCTTTCTCTTTTCGCGGTCTGATGCTGAAATGATTATCGTGTTCAGCACATCTTCAAAGATACTGTTGTGCTATTGTTTGTCAGGTTTCAGGCCATCATAGCTGTGCTAAAGGCACACTACTCGCCTGTTTTTTTGAATGCAACTTTGGGTACGCAAAGCAGCTTAAGAATTATACTTTTTCACGAGGAAATCACTGATTATGCTGTTACAATTCTGAAGAAATCTTTGCTCGTATCAGAGGTCACCTTCAGTCGGCATTGACACTTGCTGTGAACCTGGGAATCAATCTTGAGGATGTTTTGGCCTCTCTCAATGCCAACGTTTTTCTCCATGCGCACATAGATCTCTTACACTTGGTGAAGATAGACCTCCCTGCAAAAGCCTAGGGTTAAAGTGCTCTTTCCCAAAATATGCCTTTTTTTCTTTATCTTGTCAAGTTTATGACCAATTACATATGAAGGCGTTCCCCAAGTTGCCCACAGGGTGATACTAAAAGCGTTTTTCAATCTAGTTAGTGTATGTTGTCTGTGTTGTACTTTGGCAATGATTTCCGTATTCAAATTGGGTATCGTTTCAAATTTCTGACAAATTTTAGATCAATAGTCAACACTGTTAGACTGGTTTTATTGTTTCTTGGGTTCATATACTATCTATATATCATATCGGAATCCAATTTCATCTTTGCCAAGATCGATTTCCATGAATCATAGAGTGTTGTGGGACAGAGTCCATGTTTCAAAAAAAAATATGAAGAAAAGAAAAGATTTGGAGGGAGCAAAGGCAAGGCAAGCTATGTGATTTGTGTGATCAAAAAGCTTCATTGTGACGATTTACCCTGACAGTTCTTGCCTTAAGTCACTTGTATCTCGAACAAAGTATATAGGTTTATTGTGACTTTGATCAAAGGCTGTGTAAGTTATGAAAAGTGTTGTACCACCGATGTATTATTGAAAGAGAATTTTTGATCCTTGTTTACGTCCATCAATGTGATCTACAATCATCATATATACTACAACCTGTTGATATTGATTCTTACTGATTTCATCTTTTCTGTGGAAGGTTCCAAGATTTTGACTCGGAAGTCAAATCTAAAGTTCACTCATCTTTCACTCTCCTTTCCATTTCCAAGCAAACATTCATACAGCAATGGTATCGATCTTCGAGAACTTATGACAAGCCAAATTGAGTCACTCCATTGGCCCGTTGAGCTCGTCGTCCAGTGCCTGATAATCACATTCTGTTAGTTAAAATGACCCAGACAATGTAGTTTCAATTGATACGTACCATCAATTCATCTGGGTTGAAGTAAGGCAGCATATGAGATTGGATTCCATGAGACTTGAGAGCTTTAACCAGTGTAGAAGGCACACTTTCTGGAACGGCCTTTTCCGGATTCAAGATGAAGACAATATGTCTGAGGTGAGGTGTCATATGAAATGGGGAAATATAGTCTCTGCAGAGAGCCTCTAAATAAGTTTGGCCATGACCGATGTCCACTACGAGCATTCGGATGGAATGACAGATTGTCCAATTCATAAAATTGTCGAGAGTGTCATCCTCATCGAAGGACCCGGGATTGGGACAACAGTGAGTGTGTAAAATCCGAAGTCTTGGAAATTTCATATTGATGACAGACTCTGCGACATCGTGAATTGCAAACATAGACAGAGCTTCGAGTGTGCCCTGGATAGGGCCAAATATCTGTTCTGCATTCCTCAAATTTCCGTGACACTGATATCCAACGATTTTCAAGGTTCCTTTTGCCGTCTCACAGATGTGAGCGATGGCATTCCGGTTGACCTTGCGAACCAGGAAGTTGAAGCAGCGCAAATTTGATAGGGCCGGTGGTTGTAACTCCAATGGTTCTACATTAACCCATTGAATATCCAAACATTCCAGCCCTGGGATGGCGATAAGGAGATCAGATAAAGAATTTGTATCGTAAATTCCGCCACGTATTCGACCAATATCATGGCCTTCTTGAAGGTTTAACCGTCTTATATTTTTAATACGCTTTGTAGCGTCAACTAAACTAGAAGGAATACCAAAAGAATCGATGAATACAAGTATCAACTCGTCCAGGTTTTCGCCGAGTAACTCAAGAAGTTTCGCCGCCTGATCTATGAATATAGGACATCGCTTTTTCCATTCTATAGATTGTAAATAAATCAGAACGTTTCAGTAAGTGATAGTGAACAGTTGAAAGATTCTAGATTTCACCTTTCTTTAAATGTTTCGCATCTTCAGGTTGTAAGTAAACCAGGTCTTCAATTATTAATCGTCTTACAGGGCATGGACGATCAGGAGCGTGGATTGAACTGGACCAGCTTCTGAGAATAACTTCAAGCCTTTTGGACCTATGGATTCGAAGAGTTCGAAAGGCAAACGGTATCGTAGCCTCTGACCAAACTTTAGAAACCAAACGAAGTTTGAGGAGTTCAGAGGTTGATGTTGGGTGAAGATATGGGTCTTCTCCACCCTCATGCTCCTCGTATCGATAGCTTATCAATTGAGAGACAAAAATGTCGACAATTCGAGACACAATTTCGTATGGCAGCCGAAGCTTTTCAGGTGTGTTCAGGGATGAGTCCGGTAGATTGTCCATCATTGTTGATTGGTTGTGAAATTTTCAGACCAAAGGACGGCGAAAGTGAGGATTCTTGTTCGAGCAAAGTGGATCAGAGTGGATGAATGTTTTTCGTCTGTCCAAGGTAAAATTATATGTACACGGAAATACTGCTTTTTGTTGTCCGGGTCCCTGTGCACATTCCCCTACATTCCCTCTATCCACTGAAAGGGCTTTAAGGGTATGTACTGGTAAATAGCATTGAACATTTGAAAGTGAAACCTTGAGACGGCTAGGATCGTAGACTGTGGTGATTTGCTGGGATTCTGGGATTAAGGAAGTGGTGGGAAGATGTTGGCACGGGAGTTATTGTTCTGAAAACTCGAGATTTCGAATTTGTTTCTGTATGCTGAACGCTGGACGGCCCCGAGGGGTCTGAGCGAATTGCAGTGATAAAAAACGCGACCTGAGATCCTTTAGGGCGGCCTATAACACTGCAATAAGAAAACACCAAGCTAATGATGGGAGGGCGGGTGGAAAACACCAAATTGTGACTAGAAGATGCAAGGACACAAGATTTTTGTCGATAATTAAGCTATGGATGAGTATAAAAATTGGTAAAGAGGACAATGAGGAGGTACAAATGACTTCGCTCCTTTACCATTTGACACAAAAAGATCTTCGAGGAAGATTAAAGAGTAAATATCGATTTCTTGTTTTCGGATTTCACAACTCCCTTATAAGCCGTACCATATTCCCCTTGGTTGAAACGCGTCCCAACCACAATTCTTGAGGGTTGAAAACTCTTCACCCGAGGTTAACCACTTCCTTCCTAGCCGGTTGCGTCCCATGTGACAGTTCACTGAAATGACATGGGAAGACTCTATCCCTGTCACACACTCTCAGCTCCTACATACCAGATAAGAACAGGCAAGCAGTCAAGTGTTTTTCAATCCTGTCCACTTTCGGATGTGTAAGCTTTCCGAGGGCGAGCAGCCTGAAAAACTTTGGGCAAGTAACCAAGAAGAAAATGATCAATTACTGAGCCTGCATGACTAAATGCAATATGAATTTGGAGAGACAAGTAGTCAATAACATCTGGACCCAGCGAGTCAAGTTGAGAAATATAGACTACATACCCAGAGTGAGTTAGTTAACAGACCTTCGACCTTTAACGGCTTCAGCATTTGCTCAACCACTGATACGGTGATGAGTTGGGTAGTTGATATGTACAGCTGGGAGCAATCTTGGCTCTGGAGTGTCTCCGGTGGTGTCAAAGACATTTATTCCGCCTAGATCGTGCTCTTTTGCAAACCTACTCTTTTCAAGTATCGAGCCTGGATCTTCATAGGTGATCAAGTGCTTTGTTTCTGGATGGTACAGAAAGGGCTGCATGACGAATGTCCAGCATCAGCTACACGCTAAACAATCGTTATCAAAGAGAATTGAATAATCACTTACAGTATGTGTGCAGTTATCGTAGTGGCGCTGGTAGCCCGAAATACCTTGACTGAGATCTTTACTTAGCTTTTGCTCGCTATGAAGTTCGCGAAATAGCCAATGACCCCCACCGGCAGCCAATTTTCCACCTTGACCGCCTGGTAAGGCCTGTTGATACAGTAAGCTAGTTACATTCGTGGTGCCTAATTGCGTGGGCTTGAGAGAATCGTCGATCAAGGTATATCCATAACCATAGGAGGGGATTCCGAGGAGAATCTTACGAGAGTTGAAGCCCGATTTTATCCACGATTCTACTCCACTTGAGACAGAGTACTGATGATTCGAATCAGAACAAGTGTGATAGAGTGGCGCATTAGGGCCTGCTATGACATTTCCTGTTCCGCTTCCGTACACATCGTAAGCCTGTGAAAAGGGCCACCAGTCAGCTGAGCCATATCGAGATGGAAAAGGAAGAGTATACTCATACCATGATGGTGATATAATCCAAAACCTCAGAGAAGCCTCGTGTGTCCGTCAGGTATTGACCGTCGGGGCCTACCAAGCCGAGTATTGATACAGCGGCGGACAGGCGATATTCTGCTCCTAACAGCTGACGAAGGGTGGTGAGGAGTTTCAAAAAGTTTGAAGTATCGGCGGGCGAAAAAGCATTACCTTCTGCAGCATTCACTCCGGGGAACTCCCAATCTGAGAAAATGTCAGTTGTCAGCTAATCAACATCATACTTGAATGCGCCTGCAGGAAAAATTGACTCAACCGATTTCTACTCCATCGAACTCGAAATTCTTCACAAGTGAGACGATCGAGGCCGCAAATTGGTCGCGGGAATCACTAGAGCTGACTAAGGTGCTGAAAGCTCCACTGCCCGACCAGCCACCTAGGGTCTACGTCAATCGATAACGTTAGCAAAATTGAAGCGTGTCATGTCTGAAAGTCCATTGAAATACTCACAACGGAAATTGAGACGTTATTAGCCCTTGCTAGCTTCACTGTCTCGCGCAGATTCTGTTCATTTTCTATTGGGAGCTGATTGGTGGCATCTTTGACTGGAACAACAAAGTAGTCTATGTGAGTGTAATGAGACCATGGTATTTCGGAAGGCGGCTGGCGATGCGCGTGGTATGACTGCCAAAGTGTTCAAAAATCAGAAGGATTAATCAAAAAAATAACAAATTCAGCATTCTTTTTTCAGATTTCTTTCGACCGTGGTCTTTGTTATTCATCAACAAGAATGGAGAAAACGTACCGGATAGTATCCCGCCACAACAGGTTTTCCCTTGTCAGCCCAACCAATAACCGAGAGAAGAAGGGTAGAAATGAATGTAAGGATGATTGGGATTTGCATTTTTGCGATATTTTTGGTTGAATTTGTGTTTGGGTGTAAGTTTAGAGAGTATTAGTGTATCGAAGCTTCAAAATGCACTCAGCCCTATATATAGGATTCCAGTTGTCTTCCGGAGAGTTTGGTTTGTCCTCGAAAGCATGGTCTGATTAGCCATTAGCAAGTAGGTAAAAGCTGCTCCAACAAGTTATCGAATGTTTGTAAAGCAAAGCGTCTGATTCTGACGCTCCAAATGTCCAGCACAATAGTGACTTGCACGGAGCTTTTGAGCAGGTGAATTTCATAAGTTACCACTGATTTCCAGAAACATGACATGTACACCTCCTTTTGCGAGCTGGAGTACTTTCACTAGGAGGCACATTCTCTCAAATCACCACGAGGGTACAACTTCAAGCGTGTGGCGGAAGAAGTGAGTTGTGAGCACACCATTGTCACCTGGCTCCTAAGGGCTCATACGAACAATCTGAACTGTACCAGTCGCTCAGTTTGTAGGATGTCAATCTGACCAGGAGGACAAGCTTTCCACAGAGCACCAAAACAGAGAAACTGCGAAGGAAAGAGGGCAACCACATGCGGGTATGCGTTTGAACCTAGCTCAACGCTCGACTTCGTCATAGTCATGCGTGCAGCGTATGTGGAGATGCGGTCTAATTGTTGGATCTGATGTTGCATCGGCCGAGCGGAAGATCGAAAGTCATACCATTGCTCTTCCAAATAAGCAAGACTATCTCATCATTGGACTCTAATCGACGTCCTACTTCGCTTTCAAGCCGATCCTTTCGTACATAGTCTTTTGTTCTGAGTTAGCCCGGTGTACATAAGTTCGGGCTTGGAACTTGGAGGGGTCAGGGCCCAGCTTTCGATTCCCAACGTGTTCCCGCATCATGTGATTTCGAACATTTGTAAGTCTTGACCTTGAGCTCTCAAGCAGAAAATCGATGTGTACAAACGAATAATAAAAATTGCACCGTGAAAATTCAATTGATGCTGATCCAACCGAAGCACAGAAAGGTAAACCGAGATTTTGATATCTGGCCATCTATGGTAGGACTTATTCAGCACTTTTCAGTTTGAAAAGGGCCATCGTCTGCTTGCATATGATTGGTGAGTCTCATCATCGAATTCTCTTTCATACATACCACGCCAGGAGCCTCGGTCCTGCTCAAAAAAGTCCTTCAGTATGACTATGACCCCAGCGAGCAAAGATATGCCAGAGGCGTCTTTCTATGTTGTCATCCTGATTACTAATGATACGTTGTCTCCTCATTGTTTTTCAAGAATTTTTCTCCTGAACTTGTAAATTCGTATCTTTATGGAAGTTGACCTGAATCTTCGATCCGCTGCCTCCCTAGTTAAACTTGACTCGGATCATAAGATGAACGAACTCGTAGTCGAGCGATGATGGTATCTCGGAAGGTATCTGACAATTCTACTTCAACATCAGGATCTTGATTCATCATTCGCCACAATCAGTTCTGTTGCTTCTATGGGGCTGACGTGTTTATTTGGAATTGCTGATCGATTCCCGCGCTGGAGTAGACTCCTTGTGCATACTTTTCAACCTCCCCGTGAATCTCGCTGACAAGCTCTTCTAAGCAACGTTTTCATGCTCAAATCAGTTCCTGAGCTGCGATTGCTAATGTATTTATGAGCTCACCGCTCTTATGCAAGGGGGACACTCCTCTTCATAGCTTCTGCTCCTTATTTCCTTTCGAGTCTTGTACCGCAAACCAATTGACTTTTGAAGCTTGGTTTAACTATATTGCACCCTGCCTTTATCTAGGAGAATCTTCTATTATCATATTTTGCAAGCGTCCTTATCAGAGCTGACCTAAAATCCCAAATCACGCAACATGCGCATCCCGTTAACTTCAGCTTTACTACTCGTCTTCCATATCTCCATGCTCCGAGCATGCGATGACGATGAGAAGACAAAGAAGCCCACCAAAGCTGGCCACAAGGAGCCAGTAGTCTCCAGTTACTATCCGGTAAGACTTTTCTTGTTATAATTCCATTCCAGATATATCCTCATGCCTCTTCAAACTAATTGTCTTATCATAGGGTTATGCGGCGAACATGCTACCACCAGATGCGATCCCCTGGAAGCAGTTTAACCATATGGATTACTTCGTAGCCGTACCTCAAAACGCCCCGGATCTTGCGCTGGTGCTCGACGACGAAGAGAACATGAAGACCGTCGTTGCAGGTGCAAAGAAGAACAAGGTCTCCATCTCCATCTCAGTTGGAGGCTGGACCGGCTCTCGCTTCTTCAGGTACGTGCAAAGTCTTCGTTTTCGATTCGTGAAGGCGTTCTAACTCTTGAAATGAATTTAGCACCAATGTCGGAGATGCCCAGAACCGCACAGTCTTTGTCAAGACGCTTTCTGACTTCGTTCACAAATACGGATTCGATGGTACAATGATCATTTCACTTACTCTATCATCATCATCATATATTCACAAAGGCTTTTTGACTCATCTTCCTGATTTTCCCCTCATTAACTTTAGGGATTGATATCGGTGAGCCGACTAGAAATATTCTTTCAACGGCATTATAATCAGGAATGATTGACCGTGTCTTACTTTGTTTACAGACTGGGAATACCCGAATCGACAAGGCATGGGCTGTAACTTGATGAAGGACACGGATAGCTCAAACCTTTTAGAGTTTCTAAAACTACTTCGAAAGAAACTTGGACCTTCCTTTCGTCTTTCTGCTGCTGTGCCAGTTCAAGGATTCAATGGACCAGACGGCGAGCCACTGCAAGACCACTCCGCCTTTGGGAAGGTCCTCGACTATATCACCGTCATGGTACGTTTGTCTGATGAGATCATGTATGGTTATTATAATGATCACTGATAAACCCCGGTCTTCAGGCCTACGATATCTATGGACCTGGATGGGCCAAATACTCGGGTAAGTCTGTTTGATTCGCACTGAGATATCCAGTCGCTGATGAAAGAACCCGTAACACCAGGCCCCAACGCTCCACTTTATGACACCTGCAACGATCCAACCAACAAGTTTTCTGGTAAAGCAGCTGTCTCTGCATGGACCAGCACCGGTTTTCCGGCTTCTAAAATCCTTCTAGGAGTTCCTTCGTATGGATACGGCTACACTACGCTTGCTTCCAACTTGAAATCTACACAGTTTTCTGGTGAAGGCTCAGGTAGTAGTATGTACTATCAACAAGTCTCGTCGGTGATTCCACCCGGGGGAGCGACGTCTGGGGGCGATGATACTGGGAAGATTGATGCGTGCGGTAACCCTATGGGGAATGGAGGCAATTGGCTTTTCCGAGAGCTGATCGAGACGAAAAAGTTGAGTGACGACACTCGAAAAGGGCTCAATGGATATACCAGGCATTATGACAGTTGTTCAAGGACTGTACGTAATTTGTTTCTAAACATTTATATCTCATCTTAATGACAATTAAGACATCGGCTGATACGATACACATCGTTTGATTCTCTAGCCTTTCCTATTCCATTCTGGAACTAGGAATCTAATTTCCTACGACGACCCAGTCTCGCTCGGAAAGAAGGCCGTTTTTGCAAAGGTCCATGGTTTGGGTGGCGTCAATGTCTTTGATACCACTGGGGATACCAAGGAGAACATCCTACTCAAATCAATCAACTCGGTATTGCGAAACTCTTCTACCATGTGGCGCGAATGAGAGAAGCCGAGGGAAAAATTCATCGTCTTGTTAGTTTAGGAATTGGATGGACCGCCACTTTTGTATATGATGCGCTTGACTCCACATTTCTTATTCCGCCACCATTCTGTTTGGCATATCTAAAGTTTTTTATACCATGATTTCCTTGCGGCAATCGTTCTTAGATCTTTACCTAGGGGCCCTTTGCAAGGTGATCCCGACGACCCAAGATTGTATCTCTTTAAAACCCAAAAGGATGCTCTGCAATGGATATTCTTCAGTTTGTTTCTCAAGAGGCTCGATCTTCTCTCTGATCCAAATATGACCAGATATATAGAGTCAGAGGTAGAAGATCGGGAGGCTGAAAAATCCAACACCAGAAAATAAGGTTAATGGCGGATGGAATGTTGAGAAGCGAGGAAGATGTACTTTTGAACTCAATAAAAAGTACCAAGTGTCTGATTTGTATGATTAAACAAAGAACTTCATTTTGAAGGGTTGTTCTGAATTTTGAATATTCCTCAACACGATTCAGATACACCTATCAGGAGATTCATCCGAAAAGGCCAAACAATCAAATCTGGTCAACCATTCCATGATTGTCTTTCTATATTTTCTTTGCACCATTGGATCTTCATCTTTTACAAAGGGAAGTACCCGCCGTGCATCAAGGCCCAAGGTACCCTACTACATTTGAGGCAGAAAGGATAATTGGGTGTGTTCGCTAAGCTACGCGGACACGGTGATCAATCGACCTCCATAAAAAAGCTTGAGGGGTTAATCAAGTTTGAGTTGCACAGTTTTCGAAGTATGTTACCATTCTTAACTTGGGTTGCCAGTTGTAAGATGAGATATCATCCAAAAGTCTTCAAAAAATCATCCTTTTAGACAGCTACAAGAGAAATGTAACGTTTACAGAAGATGATACACGAAACAGATCATGAGACAGGATTAAGATGTTTTGAGTCCCCCATCCAATGTTTCAACATGTCTCCATGTTTCCATCGGGAGGAAGAAGCTGCGACTCACACCAAATCATAGCATTTTTTAGTAAGAGCCACGAGGTGCGGAAGCATCCAAAGTAACTGCGGTTTGACCATCGTGGCGCGCACTGCGTGACCCTCGGCGGAACAAGTTGCACTCCGGCTTGCTTTACAGAATTGCCCTCAGTCTTGGAAGTAATGAACAAGTTTGAAACACTCTATGGAGCAATAAGATAACCATCCATGTATAAAACTTTAATCTTTTTCTTTACAAAAAACCTTCATCACTTCTTGATATCAAGTATCAAAAATCAAGCCCAGATAGTTGAAAACATGAAGCTTTATTCAAGCTCATACATCCAGCTCAGTTGGCTACTTCTCCATTGGACCACATGCACTAACAGCCAACCCAGAGCCATGCAATATGTACCAGAGGGTAGAATGAAATCTGTACAAGAAGGGGCACCTATTAATCTCTCCAACCCCTTCATATCTTCCGCACCAGACTCAGAAAAGACATTTCAACATCAAATTTCAACATCCACAACAGATTTGAGTTCTAACAATGTCTTGAGAACTTCAAGACAACCTAAATATCTCAATTTAGAAAAACCATACCAAAGATACAGTTTTACCAAAGAAAGAGGTCATGAAAATCAAAGTTCCTACTCAAAAATCAGAAATCAAGAGAATGTCAGTAAAGTCCACCCACATCAGTCAAAAGGGCACAAAGTAGATGAATGCATGGAAGCTTCACATAGAGCACATCCATTGGTAAAATCCAAAGAAAATGAGTCTTGCTACCAACATCTTAATTATGACACAATACCTCATCAAGGTCATTACACTTACTACAAACCAATTCTCAATCTGCCACTACCAGATTTTGTGCTCCCCAACATGGTACCAGTTTTCTACAACCCTCAAGATGCTGATGATTGGGCTAAGGCAGGAGCAACATTGACAAAATTGGATCCAAACCTACCACAAGACTCTGAATATCAGCCATCTTCTTACACTTACAGTCATCCAAATGTTCCCATTTCAGGGTCAAAAGTGTTTAGGATTTCTAGTCAAAATGATCATGAAAACACAGCACTACCTTTCAAGTCAAATTATGCAGACAGACAAAACAATTTGTATGGTGGAACCCTTGAGCATTTTAATCCAAGGTATGTTAAGTCTATCAACACATAGACTTGAAAAATTTGGAACAAGGTATTAATATGATTTCTGTTCAAAGGTCATGGCAAATCTGGGTGGATGTACAGAAGTTTTGGGTTCAGAAGTGGAGTCTTGGGCCCCAGGCCCAGGGTAAGACTCATGATTCCATCTCCAAGCAGAATGGAAATATCAGTTCCAAGGAGAATACAATCTTTCCTGAATTTTCAAATATGTGAGTGATTCCTTTGAATTTTGGATCAGTTATCAAGCTAAGATACAAGAACAAAACAGGCACCTGCACACAAAGGCTCTCCAAAATCCAGAGAGTAATTTACAAGAGAAAAGAAACCCTTATCAGACAACACATATACAGGGAGCCAAGGATACAAGCACTCAGATTCTTGATTTAACAAAGTTTGTGATTCATATCTAATCATTTTTGGTGTTGGAGTTCAAAGTGATCATTATGTTTATATACTGGAGATTATGTTTTGATTTCAGGGAGACAGATTTTCCTGATATATCTGTCCTGGGAAACCATCACAACATGGAATCCCCAGCTCCTAAATATTCTTCTGAAAATGACCTACTGTGAGCAATTTTACATACCTACTCATTTCCTCAAATATTCACAATTCTGACTAGTAATTGAAAAGAACAGGGCCCAAAGTCACAAGACTCTGGGTTATAAGAGTCAAATCAAGACTGAAGAAGATAAAAAGGAAGGGGAGGACTTCAGAACCAATTCCTTGGAGAAACATACAAACAATGATGATGTTAAGAGACCATGGGCATCAGTTGCCAAAGCTTCACCCAGAAGGTAAGAATGGCACATGCTGACTACTTAATTCATATTCCTCCCTTTTCTTGTCTGAAATGATGTGTGATAATCACAATAGACTTTCATTCAACCATGATTCAAACTCAATTAGTACGACATCCCCTGACTACAAAGGCAAGGATCTCACAACACTAGAGAACCCATCCAAGAAAGTAGCAAACAAAGGACCTCCCAGTAAGGATGCATTTGCATTGAAGAAAAGTGGAGTTGTGGAAAATCATTTCACATCTGAGATGACTTCATCTCAAAGTAGAACAAACAAGATGAGGCTGCCTGACCAAACAGACCAAACAAAGGAAGGATATCTCAAGTCTTTAGTCAAAAATGACAGGAATGACCATAAACAATCAAAAATTCAGGAATTCAACTCTCCAGACATCAGTTCCAAGGATACAATTGAGCTAAGTCTGTCTTCAGGACTTGAATCTGATGGGTGGTTGACCTATCATACCAGAAATTCAAGAGTAAAGGACACTAAAATTTCAAGAGAAACACCTCAAAAAGGGTTGAAAACTGAAGAAAAGCAATTGCATGGTCTTGAATACCTTGAACAAAAACCTTCAAATTTGCTGTCCAAGTCATCTTCATCCACCTCTAAAAAAGAAACAAATCCCTGGGGTATCAAAGTTGTTGAGAGAAAATCATTTGCAGACATTGATTCAAATGAAAACAAACACAACATTGAACCAGTCATTGGCCTCCTTGAAGAAAAAAATAATGCTTCACAAAACGGAAAGACACATGGCCAACAATCAAATGGAAGAAACGCCCAATCTTCTTCAAGTATATTAAAGAACAAAGAGTCTCTGCTGGGAATGACCCATGAAGATGTTAACAATTCACATTTGAAGGAAAAGCAGAAAAATGAACAACTTAGGTCAACTCTTCAAAATGCAAAATATGAGCTGGGAGATAAATTGGAAGCTGAAGAGACAAATACACAAAAACAAATTGAAAATAATCTGATACCTGATATTGGTGTGGGTGATTTTTCCACAGAAAGCCCTCACAGATCACATAGCACAAACAACCCAGATCAGAATAGCCCCATAGAAGGTGGCACTGAGGAATCTTCTTCAGAGGAAGAATTTGAGGAAACAATTAAATCAAAGGCAAAAACAAAAGGCAAGAAAAAGTCAAAGAAACAAAAGAAAAAATCAATCAAAAAGAAAGAGAAGGTCACCAAGGTCTTAGATTTTGATAAAGAATCACCTGAAGAACTTTCACCAACAATCCAGTCACTGTCAGATCTCTTCAAGACAGTGATGAAAGTTCTACAATATGATAAACCAAAGAAGCTCTTGCCTATCAAAATGACTGATCAAGAATTTGAACAGATCTATTGAGGATACAAACATGTTTTGGAACAAGTTGGACCATCTGAAACTATTTTGGGTTTGGTTTTTGATAAGTTTAAAAAGAATTTCAAGATTCAATGGGAAGCTCGGAGGAGAATTGCTGCATTTTTTGCACAGTTTTTACAAAGAGGAATGCAATTTCAATGGTCTGAAATGAAAGGCAGTGTTTCTGACCCTCTGAAAACTATTTTGAGACTTCTCAAAATAGATGAGAGCTTCCCTCTCTTTTTTTATAAACCTAGGCCTTCACAAGTCACTGGACTCATAGACCGCATCACAAAGCTGAATGATGAAGACCACTCAATTCTTTTGGGTTTGCTTGGCAAGGAGCTAAACATCCGCCTGCATCAAATGAGCATCATGTCACGAATTGACTACAAATCCATTTTTCTCTCACAAGCCCAGATGAAAGAGTTCATGGAACAAGGTGGATCTCTGAACATTCTTTTGGAAATTCAGCACAATCTGGGATTGGGAGTAGGTCCAAAAGTATGGACTGAAATGACAGATGAAGAAATCGAGACAAGGGCTAGAAACACTATATTTGCAATTCATGGTATGGGAACAACTCAATTAAAACCTCAAGGTCTTTGGAAGGTTCAACAACAGTGGTTTGGATCATATACCATGGAGTTTGCTTTAAACCACCGTGAATTTTCTGATCTATATAACAAACGCTTTGCCAGGCTTGTTGAGCTTTCAGCAAAAAAAATGCTGACACCCCTGAATGAGTGGATTGATGTAAAGGATATATCTGATCTGAGAGGCTGTATACCTCAGACCCTATCAATGGGGCATGTTATGGTGGGATTGGGATCTGGTATTTCTTTTGCTGACCTCTGGAAAGGGACATTCTACATTGAGAAAGAGCTTTCTCGACTGCAAGAAGACCCAATACCCAAGGCTGAGATATTACCTTGGCCTTTGAACCTTCCATCTGATTTGGACTCACAGTTTGAGAGGTTCTATAATCATTTCAAGGTCTTTGCCAAAACGCTCACCAAGGACTAGATTGCCTGATAATCAAATCACAGTATGTGGTTTTGTGGCAACAAAAAAATCAGCCGTCTGTGATCTTTTCAAAGTCGTCTCTTGAGGGTATTGACTACAGGTTGTTGTTCGAGTTTCTTCACAGGTCCTTACCAGGAACTTTTGATATTGTCAAACTTTTGGATTTTTTTATCTCGGTCTCAATCTAAAATGACTCAATTGTACCCATATTAGGCAGTCATAGTTTGTTCAGAAAGGGAGAATAGAATTCAACTCTAGTCTTTTGGCAATCACTTATTTTGTTGTTGTCTTACCATAAATCCATTCATGCATATTTATCGACTTTAAGATATAATCATTTTGCTTTCCTCCTAAGGGAGCAAGCCTGGCATCTCCACAAAAGTGAGGGGGAAAGTGTTAAAGAAGATTTGGGGCACACAATCAAAGAAGACCTGAATGGCACGTAAGAACAATTACGTTTTCAAACCGCTCCCCCTTACAAATAATACAAACAAGATTTTCTACAATTCATTTGTCCATCACTTCTCATCCCGACCAACTCAAGGGACTTTTCTAACAAGTTCCATCGTGTGATTATGGAAAGATAGACTAGGTGAATGCTGTTGTTGTAGCAAATGTTGATCTAGCCTAATCCAATGAGAGTCAGTTCCAGAGGCCCATAACGCTGTCCTTTCCTCCGCTTATCAAGACACACACAAAATCAGTCAGTACAACCAAGATTCACACAATCCCAGAGCATTCACTGCCATTCCACTTACGTTTTGAATCATTCGGATTGCCATAGATGACCAAATTCCCATCCCCTCCTTGAAAACAGCAGCGAGTTTGACAACCAACTCGATCCATACTTTTGACTTGACGATCAAATTTTGCGAAAAATTCAGATGCCCAGATCACTGAACCATGCGGTTCTTTGGGAACCCGGCCTTGGTGAAGGACTAGATTTGATGTGTCAGGATCCAAGTAAAGGTAGGTAGGTTGTGATGGTCTTGGCGGAATGATCGGAGGTTGTGAGTCTCCAACTTGCGGTCTTGGCGGGATCGGTGGTGGCCCAAATCCTGAAGGTTGATGAGGCGGTATGCATACATATTGACCAGCCTGATATCAAATGTAAAAATGGGGACACCTGTCAAAAAATAGATCCCAACTGCAGAGGTTAATGAGAAATCAAGAGAAGACTCCTTACAACCAACTCAAAACTACCTTTCTGAAAAACGTATTCGGAAGCCCAAGCCACGCAATTATCGCCAGTCCATAAGACTAAAAATGGAGACTGATCAGCAATAGTCAAACTAGCTTTTCCCATCTCCACTTTCCCATCCAAGTAATCAGTAGGATCCCATATCAAACGACCTGAGCCATTTTCCCTTATAGTTAATTTACCATCAGCACTCAGTGTGAGATTGGCACCACCAACTGCGCCACTACGGCCCGAATTCCAGAGAATAGATCGGGTAGCGTTACACATGACGACTAAGAGTCCATCATCTTGGAGCTTCAAGGTGATCTTATCGAAAACTATCTGAGAATGCTTAGGAGAATTCGAGTGGAGATGAAGTTGTTCAGGGTCATAACGCAATTTGCGGATCGGTCCATCCTCGATACCGATCAACCAAGATGCTCTTCCTCTCTTGAAATCAGGTTGCAAGTCACAATCGAATACTAGATCTGGGTTTGAATTGGCGAGAAATGCCATTGGGGGAGCATTCAAAGGTTCAGGCATGCATGTCATGTCCCCTCTGAATTCAGTTCCTGCTGCGATGCGGTTACCTTGAACACTAAAGAGTTTAGCGCCTGAAATTCCGATTGCATAACCTGTTTTGGTTAAAATTAACCAGATCATGATTAGTGATAGAAATCCCAACGGCGTAGTGGCTGCGAATGGGTTTACCGAAACAACCAGGTCCAAAGATGTTATCATGCACCTGGCCTCCAAAGTTACGTTGTTCGGAACCAGGAGCCCAAGCCAATGGACCGATCCTGTGGAAAAGACCATTGAGAGGTAAGCTGAAGGATTTATATGGCGAGAACAGAGAAAGTCACTAAACCCAATCCCGAGTTTGATATGGGCACCTTCAGATTTGATAATATTACCAAACACTCTTGTGTCAGTATAATCCATCTCGTATGGCCCCGCGTCTACCCTTTTGGATGCGTCGGGATGTGAGCTCGTAGGTTTACCCATGTGAGATCTAGATTACCACCGGAAAAGCCTGCTCACATATTGATCGCGCCCTGGCTCAACGAGTATCAAAATCAATCTTTGATAAACCGAGAAGAGTGACGTTTGTACTTACCAAAAGGTTCTGAGTGCGGGCAATGATAGTGTTGCCTGTACATATAGTACCAGGAGCGCAAAAGAGAACGATTCCACCATCTGTGGCATCGACGATCTCATTATTGGCCTTTGTAACAAAATAACATCAGCAATTGTTGAGCGAACGAAACAAAAAGAGAGAGGCTGACTATAAGTCCATTGCGACATGCTATACTCATCCCATCGGCCCATGGACCTGGAAAAGTGAATGCGCAGCGCGTCAATTGAAGAGATTTCTAGAAGTTGAAATGTTATGGGCCATAGTGTACATGTCGATTATCAGACATACCATTTGGGGCTGGTAAGCCTGCAGGGCCGATCTTGTTACCGATGACACGACCGCCCGAGCACTCATCAAAGAGCTGTCAAGCAAATTATGAGAAGGCTGAGACGGGAAAATGGAAAGAGCTTGATAGGAAATCTTACTAACATGTAGACATGACCACCCTCGAGGATGTCTGAGTGTACAATACTGTATCACCGGATCTTTCGCTAGCCGACCACCACAGGCAATAAGAGCTGAGCCATTTTCGACCCAACCCTTATCGGGTCTTCTACCATCAACTGTGAGATGAGAGATCTTCACGTGATGCGTATTATAAAACGAGATAGCCGTTGGATCTTGGATCGGATGGAGTTGTGCTTGGAGTGATGGATCGGTTGGATAGCCAAAGGTACTGAGCTCTGATTGATTTGCAGTTATCTTGATCGGGATCTCCAGCTCCCAGATACTTGATTGTGCCAGCTGAATAATGGTCCCAGGGCCGCCTGATTCAAACAATTGAGTCAGATAAGCTGCAGGTCGAGTAAGGAATTCCGCTGGTAAGTCATGAGGATGAAGGCCTTTTGGATGATGGAATTTCAAGTGAGGAATATACATCCTGAGAGGTGACCTGGTGATGATGGTGATGATGGTGATGATGAAGTTGGATGAAGATTAAATTAAAAGCCAGGTGCTAAAAGCGGTCAACAGGATGATCGGTGAAATGTCAAGAGTTTGATTACCATCATTAGTGATATCTCACCTTCATCTCATCACATAAATCAAATCTCATCCTCCACGTATATTAGTTCTTCTTTTAAGCTGAACAATGCCCTCTCCATTGCCAAATGCGCTGGCGTGGTCGCATAAGCCGCCCTTTATGACGATTTTCTAGGAATATCTTTGGAGGCATCAATGGATCTCTCGAGATCGACCCCGTTGAACATTCACTACATACCTTCTGCGTGGAGATGTATGTATGGATGCCAAATGCCCCATCAGCCAAGAACACATCAGCTGATGATGTTCTGAATGTTCCCGGATTCCGATGAACAGCACAGTATAGGGAACTGGTGCAGCTTTGCATCCATCATACATAGGATTTGAGCCTCAAGAATCGCTGGAACGTTTGCTTCAGCGGACTACTAACTTTGAAACATGAGGCTTTTGTTCACCGAGCCTCAAGAGCCTGTCGGGTTATGTGATCGAACTTTGATGTCTCAATGATCACCTGATCATGCTTAAACAAGCATCTGGTTTCACAGATCAGATCGCCTGCAATATACATCTGAAGGATGAATAGGGTGAAAAGGAGGAACTATTGACTTTCCGTAGGTGTCTGAGTTTGACGTGTCCTAAAAATCTGACTCCTCGAAAAGAACCACCTTCCAAATTTCTCTTTTTGCTGTCGAAACTTTATATCCTCCAGGATGAAGCCATTCATCAACTTCATTTTTCTAAATTCTTTATTATTACCAAGTTTGAATCATCTGTGCTTCAGCAGCCCACCCAGTACTATCGGATATGTGGCACGAGAGGCAAGACATATGGAAGAAGGTGGAGATTATTTCAAGACATCTGAATTTTTTCCAACATCAAGCAAAACAGACGGGGAAGCCATATATACACAGCAATCAACAAGACCCTCTGGTCTTGATCAGGGACCCCACTCTTTGAGATCTTCAACATCTGATGATATCAGGAAGAGATACCATGAAAGTGCATACAGGGAAGTAAAGGGACAAAAGACATCAAGCATATATCCAGAAACTAACTATGAAAGCGGAAGTCATAGAATCCCATCAAAGGCTTTGCATAATGATAATCATCCGGCATATCATGTCTTTGGGAATCTTCAAAACAGGAATCAACCTGAATACCAAATCCATACTACTCCTACAAATCTTGTCAACCCTCAAGACTCACTTGCTAATGGAGTTCCAGTGGTGTGTCTTCCAACACCAGACTTTGTATTACCTGGAATTGTCCCATGTTTTCTCAAACCTGAAGATGCTGCACAATGGGCTGCTTCAGGAGCAGAGCTGTATCATCCTGATTCAGTACTCACCTCAGCAAAAACTCCACCTACATTCTTTGGGTCTGGTACACAAGACTTGGTCCCTCAAGATGGGCAGAGAGCTTACACTCAAGGTAACCTCAACCAATTTGAGAAAACACATTCAAACACTCAGGCCACCCCTCAAGAAAAAACACATAATGAAAAAGGTGTATTTACTGGGCCTCCTCAGACTTTTAGTACAGGGTAACTGAATCTTCCTTTAGGTCAGAAGATGCTGAGTCATTCACTGACAATGTTTATTCTCAAAGACCGGGAAAAAGAAAAATGAAAACTCCTCTGCTAGCAAGCCATGAGCCAATCAATTGTTTCACAAATTCAATGCAACATTCTACTCATTTGACACATCAACAGGGAAAGCCAACAGGAAGTGGCCCTAGAGTCTTGAACCTGTATGTCATATCTCTTATACTCCTAAACAGTCCAAGTACTGAAACAAAGACTACAAAGTGAGGTGGACAAACATATTTTACCCAAAGTGGAAATGCAACTCCAGGAGGAAACAAAGGTACCCCCAAAAGGCAAAGTGGTACAACAATGTGAGGAGCCACTTGCACAAAGAATCTATGAGGCACCAAAAGCAAGGTTGGTTGGATAATTATTTCTATGTGGTTGGAAAACCTGAACATTCAGAGTGGTTTTTAATGCTTCATGTATGATCCAGGGGAAATAGTGACTTTATTGAGACTGTGATAGCCAGTAGCCAGATTAGGAAAGACATCAAAACCAAAAAACCAGTTCCACAAGATTCTGTAAAGTATATCCTATACCCTCATGAGATGCATCCATTCAAACAAAGATGTCAGCTAATCAACCCTTGCTGTTAAAAAATCCAACTTGTCTGTTTTTCCTGCAGATTTAATCAGAAACAAGAGCCACAGTCACATAACACCAAAGACATGGGTATTGGAAAGGCAGAGGATGGAAGTGGAAGATTTATCACAGAAAATTATGAAAGCAAAACCAACAAAGAATGGTCTGTGCCTGCGGAGGTTTCAGCAAGGTAACACCTCTTTGCTCTTTTGTCTCAAGAATATTTTGCATTCTTTCTGATGTTGTGGGCAAATAATTTACAAAGGCTTTCAGTGATGAATTCTGAAATGTCAAAGGCCTCCAAATTTAAGATGGAGGAAAAAACCAAACAAGATTCAGTTGAAAAGGAACCCACCAAGTCCAAAGCAAAGTGGCCTGCCTCCCAAAATATAGCCAGCTGTCATGAACAAGAGATACCACCAAAGCAGGAGGATGGAGACATCACGGGAGAACTTTCTGATAAGTTTCAAATTGGTGAAAGCAACTGGGCAGATAAAACGTACCCATATATTGCAGAAACTGAAGACAGGAAGCGCAAAACTGTGGATATGTCCTCAAGTTCACACCAATCACCACTGAAGTCTAAAAGTGTGATGGATTCAGATGATAAAACTCCAGAAATCTCTGGCCATAAGGGGTGGATTCCATGCAATGGAAGCGGACTGTGTGTGAAAAGACCATGGGATAATATGAAAAACAAGGGGACAAGGTTGACTACTCAATATAAGGAGTCAAATGTAGTGAAAGGAGTAGGAAGTCCACAACATGTTGCCAATAGGCCTGTTAATTCACTATTACCTCATCACAATCATCCAGATGACTACAGAATTCCACATATTGTCAGGGAAGAGGGTTCTGCAAAAAAACTTCCACAAGAATCCAAGGGTGGAAACACATTGGATACAGATCTGACAACATCCAATGCAATCATAGATGTCAACAACAGCAAGGTAGATCAAAACTCAAAGTTGATTTCTACACTTAATTCAAAACCCATACCGCAAAAGAATCACCAGCTAGATAGCAGACCTGAAGTAGACAGGGCTCAAGATATGGTGGGCAGTGACCTTCAAAGGCCACAGATCAAGGGATCAATGAAAACTGAAGCAAAGACAGGATTATTGAATATTGATGATGATGATGTCTTAATTATACCACCTACAGCCAATGAACAGGTTGGATTCTCAGATGGAAATAAAGACAAAGACCAGAAATTTGTGGAGAGTAGGGCTGTGGGAGAATATTGTAGCTTGCACTCTATGGACAAAGAGAGGGGCTCTCCTGTGAGTAAAGAAAATTCAAAAAACAAGAAGATCAAAAATAAAAACAAGAAAAATGGGAAACCAAACAAGCCAAAGGAATCCAAGGAAGCTGAAAAACCACTACCACAATCAATTTCACAAATAATGAAGACAAATGTTGGGAAAGCAATATTAGAAACTCTTCAATTTCAAAATAAGAAGAGGCTTTTGCCAATCAATTTGGACAAACAAAGGGCCTTGATACTTGCAGATGATTGGGTTGATTATAAAACAGAGGGTGAAAATGATCAAGAGAAGAGATTGGCTTGGGTAAAGACCTTTGATGAATTCTCACACATTTTTGGAGACAATTTTGAAGCTCAAAGGAGAGTCACTGCATTGCTGGCACAGTTCTCACAAAAGGCAAGCCAACTTTATTTTGAAAACATGAAAGACTTAATATCTGAACCCCTAGTGAAAGTATTGAAGATATTGAAGGTAGAGGAAGAATTCCCACTCTTCCTGGACTTTGATTCTGCAAAATTTTCAAATTTCCAGAAACTGAAATCTGAGCTAAGTGAAGTAGATAGTATGAAACTTCTATATATGTGTGGTGAAGAGGAGCTGAATACTCGTATTCACCAAATGAGTATCATGTCACGCATTGATCATAGTTCAATCCTTTTCAAGTCACATGAGATGAAAGATTTCATCAAACAAGGAGGATCTTTACAAATTGTTCTAGAGATCCAGCACAATTTGGGATTTGGAATTGAAGAAAACATATGGAAGGAAATGGAAGAATACAAGATCAAGGAAAGAGCTCTAAACATCATATATGCAATGCTTGGGACATTTTTATTACAAGAAAATCCAGAACCTCTATGGTCTGGGTCACAACAGTGGTTTGAGACATATACAAGGGATTTCTTTTTCCAACAGCCACAGTTATCACATATTTTTGAGAAAAGGTTTGGAATTCTTGTTGAGTATTCTGAGAAGCTACCACCAACAAAGTTGAGTGATTGGATGAACAAGAAGGAAGCTTCAGAGGTGGGTACAATATCTCAATGTCAACTCCAATGGGGAAAAGTAATGGTGGGAGTGCACTGTGGGATTCCACTGATGTACCTTTGGGAGGGGTTGGTGTTGCTATATGATGATGTGGATCTCAAATACAGGCCAGGAATCAAAGATAAACAACCTTTATATTGGCCATTGAACCTACCAGATAATATGGATCACCATTTTGAAAGGTTTAAGAGGTTCTTTGAGTTTTTTGGAAAACGTCTCTTACTCACTAATAAATTTTGAATACCTCAATGAATTAAATTGAGAACTCCATTCATCTTTTTTGAAAGACACCTCTTGATAATGTGCTGTGCTTGATATGGAATCTAGGATATTCTCTTATCACTACACCAGATTATCAATATACTGGTGGGTTTAAAAAACAACAAACATAGAGAAGTTTTAGTGTTACATAGGAGGTCAGAAAGGAATGAATAAATAATGTTAGAATCCATATGTGCCCTGGGATCACTTTGTATATTTTTGTATAATTTTACTCTTGGTTTTGAAGATGGCAAAAAAATGATAACACAGGATATTATGTCAGAAATTCAAGATATGCCCAAAACCAGCAAGATTTGGGTAAAAAACTTGGATACCCACACATGTGAGAATTTTTGTTCAATCAATTCAAAACTTGCAATTTATGAAAGCCAAATACTGTGTCTAGAATGTTTGTTAAGGTGCTAAAGTCATTGGATTGATGATTCCTAAGCACCTGTAGCATGCAGACCCCTTGGTGAGATACCAAAGCAGATGGTATGCCACAGTAACAGAATAGATAGACATACCAGACCTACTAGTATCAGGCCTACCATTTTTGCCCCGTCTGACCTGTAAATTTCAAAGTCATTGCCAGACTTGTCTGCACCAGCTCACAGACTGGTCTGTGTACTTTGTGTCTCTGCAGATGAGGTCAGACCAGTCTACACTCCAATTGTTCAAACTCAGTGCAGACCAGTCTTAGCATATACACACCAGCCAGACTGATCTGCAGCCCAGTACGGACACCTACATACACCATTCAACCTGAGTCCAGACCAGTCTGGACATAACTTTGATTCTTCCAACTTCTCAACTTTTACCCACTACTCAATGGTAGTCACATAGATTTGCTGAGTAGCATACATATTGATAGATCAAGAATTTCAACAACTGCCAATGCTCAGTTGCACAACCTACATCCAATCCATCATGTGGTCATCAGGTTGTCTGTTTTCTTTGTTCAACACTTGTTTTATCTCAACAAAAGCTCATGTTTGGTACTCTCAAGTTTGTTTATCACATCAAGACTAGCTCAAAACAAACTGAATGCAAATCCACAATTCAGAATGTATACATCTACAACTACAAATCAACCTATCTTCCCCTACATCAAGTCCTGCTCAATCAATTCCAGGTCATCCAGTGGTTGTGCCAGGTGGGTAGGGCATTTCACTATCTTCTCCCATGTATGTGCAGAACAATTGATCAAAGCATTGCACTTTGAGACCAACATCATAATCAATTCAAGGCTGTCACTTGAACACTTTGCAGTTTTTTGACCAAGTGATGGCTGCAGACAGTCCCATGTCATCCATGTATGGTGAGAACCTAATATCAGCTGACTATGCAGTGACTTTAGAACCTTCTTAATCAGTTCCCACAACTAATTTGACACCATCCCATCAAATAGAAGCAACTCCACTGGACAATGCCCATTTGGAAATCCATTGACCCAAGCTATAGATAGACAAAATGATGTGAGAAGGGAAAGAAGAAGCAGATAATATTCATTTGCATATAACTTACAAATCTCACTTAGTTTCAACAAGGCTGAGTATTTTTCTACCATCAGGATAGCTGACTGTACAATGTTTTGAACCTCATAGGCAATGTGTGCAACCTCTTCCTTGCTGCTCCTTGCAGTATGGAAAGTGTGGATTCTGGTCTGTGTTTGTAAGTCAGCTGCCCAAGGCTCTTATGTATCAAAGAAACTAGATCATTAATAAGCCAGTCGATTATTAATATCTCAATGTCCCCGTTAATCCTTCGAACGGTCCCACACCAGGGGTTTTGTGAATGATAAGAGCAGCCGCCTTGAATTTGTTGATGTCAGACCTTTTGGGAGGGGGTTTAGGCGCGGTTGCTGCGTCCTGCTTGGAATATGGGATATTCCAGGCGTGAGGTCTAGCCGGTAAAATGTGATTGACAACTGGTAACGTTTGTTTTTTGAGCTTCGGATTTCTTGCCGGAGTTCCTTGATTGTTTTGATGAACATAGTCGCCATGCTGATGAGACTCTGTAGGAGGGCATCGTTCGGTTGAGCGTTTCTTTCCGCGAGCGAAGTTACTTCGTTCATCAGCTGGTCAATATCGGTCGACGGTCCAGAGTGGGTTTTTTGAGGGGGGAGAGTTTGGAATCTCTTCATCGCGCCGCGCGATCAGGACGTCGCTTATGGGGCATATTAGGGAAAAGAAGGAGAAAAACCAAGATTTTTTAAGAGTTTCCGATTTGTTGAAGGCCTTCATCTAAGCACAAACTTAATCAAATCGCATCCTCCACGAATATTGGTTCTGGTTTTATCTTAACCATTGCCCTCTCTGCGCGGCCGCGTCCGAGAGGGCTTTGTTGCTAAGTTCTCGATGCACTGACCCATCTGGCAAGCGGCCATTACGTTGCCAAACGCGCTGGCGTGGTCGTTTATGATGATTTTCTAGGAATATATTTGGAGGCATCAATGGATCGCTCGAGATCGACCCCGTTGAACATTCACTACATACCTTCTGCATGGAGATGTATGTATGGATGCCAAATGCCCCATCGGCCAAGAACACATCAGCTGATGATGTTCTGAATGTTCCTGGATTCCGACGAACACCACTAGGGAACTGGTGCAGCTTTGTATTCCTCATACACAGGATTGAGCTTCAAGAATCGCTTGAAAGTTTGCTTCAGCGGACTACCAACTTTGAAACATGAAGCTTTTGGGAACTTGTCATACGCCTCACCAAGCCTCAAGAGCCTGTCGGGAGGGTTATGTATGTAATCGAACTTTGATGTCTCAATGACCACCTGATCATGCTTAAACAAGCATCAGGTTTCACAGACCGAATCGCCTGCAATAAACTTACATTTGAAGGAAGAATCAGGGTGAAAACGAGGAACTACATACTGACTTTCCGCAGGTATCTGACGTGTCCTAAAAATCCGAGTCCTCGAAAAGAACCACCTTCCAAATTTCTCTTGTTGCTGTCGAAACTTTATATCCTCAAGGATGAAGCCATTCATCAACTTCATTTTTCTAAATTCTTTATTATTACCAAGTTTGAATGATCTGTGCTTCAGCAGCCCACCCAGTACTGTCGGATATGCGGCACGAGAGGCAAGACATATAGAAGAAGGTGGAGATTATTTCAAGACATCTGAATTTTTTCCAACATCAAGCAAAACAGACGGGGAAGCCATATATACACAGCAATCAACAAGACCCTCTGGTCTTGATCAGGGACCCCACTCTTTGAGATCTTCAACATCTGATGATATCAGGAAGAGATACCATGAAAGTGCATACAGGGAAGTAAAGGGACAAAAGACATCAAGCATATATCCAGAAACTAACTATGAAAGCGGAAGTCATAGAATCCCATCAAAGGCTTTGCATAATGATAATCATCCGGCATATCATGTCTTTGGGAATCTTCAAAACAGGAACCAACCTGAATACCATCCAGTAAATGAATACCAATACCATACTCCTCCTCCTGATTTAATCAACCCTCATGTGAGGGTTGGGTACTCAGTTGAGGACTCAAGGCTCACTAGATGGCTAAGGAAGGTTTGCAATTTTAATAATTATCTTTTAGATTTCAATTATAAAGTAATTACAATTGGAAATTTAAGAAAGAAAAGAAAGGGGGGAGAGAAGACTGGTCTGTTTGGATAAATCCAGACAGACTACAGTTAAATGACTCCTGAAAAGGAGATTTTAAATATAATTATAATTAATTATTTTGTTATTGGGGACTTTATCTTCCTTCAAACCTCTATTGACAGTATGAAGAGTGAGGTCTAGATCACTACACTGGTTGTTCTTATGGTCACCATAACTTGCGTATCTCTTTGTTTTATTATGTGTGAGAAAATCTTTTCTCCTTCAGTTTCAAACCTGATAGGGGTTTTCTTGGGTATTTCCCTGTTGGGGAATTTGCTCTTGTCAGAAGCGTGAAACTTCTTTATTAATGAGATTGGAAATACAGGATGTTTTCTCCCAAATTCCTCTGTCAATGCTACTTCTACTGCATTGCTTCCATGGAATTTTAATATCACAAAAGGTCCAACAAATTGATCTTGAAGTTTCTTGGGTCCTTGAAGATTATTAAAGTTTGTAGTGGAGAGTAGAACTTGTTCTCCTACTACAAACTTAGGTTCTTTATGAGTCTTGTTCCATCTCTCTTGGTTATAAGTTACGGACTCTTCAATACATTGGGCTGCTCGAGCTCTTGCTTTACCAAGCATATCAAAGAAACTCAAAGAAGTTGGATGAAATTCAACATTTTTATTCTTAATCTGGTCTTTTGGTAATCTAGGACAATAACCTCTTTCTACTTCAAAAGGTTTCTTCCCTGTTGTGCTATGTATGCTGCTATTATATGCTAATTCTAGGGCTGGTAGTAATGTATGCCAGTCATGTGTATGTCCATCTTTATCTGTGTAGCAGAGTCCTTCAGTACAATATCTCCTGATGATTTCAGTTAAGGTACTAATATTCCTTTCACTGAGGCCATCAGTCTGTGGGTGGTATGCAGTGGAAAGAGCTAATGTTGTTCCAATAAGTGTATGCAGACTTTTCCAAAATTCAGAAGTAAACTTTGGATCTCTGTCACTGATGATGATTCGTGGCAGTCCTACATCACTTATTATCCTTTCCCAGAATAGTAATGCAATGTCCATTGCTGTTGCTTCTTTGTAGCATGGTAAGAACCTTTGTCTTTTTGAAAATCTGTCTAC